TTATTATTATTTTCGTTTCGAAACTTTGTTTGGCAGTCGGGTTTGCCTTTCTTTCCTGTCAAGGAATAAAGGATGGAGGATTATTGAAAGGAAAATGAAGAATTAAAGGAAGGGATTTTTAGGACACAATGAGTTTTAAAAGAATATTTTGATTTGACCTTGCCCTCTATCTTTTAAGAAGGTAAAATTTACAGTGCGTAATTTAGAATGATAAAGAGTAGACTGGGGAAAAGATAAGGAGCTGATAAGATAATTATGATATAGAGTTGACGTCCTTTCTGAGGGAATAAAAGCCATCCGGGTTTTTTTTTTTTTTTTTTTTTTTTGTCTGTTATTGAGTACTTTTAAAATGTTCATGAGCAGAAAAGTAGATCTAACAATAAATTATTCTTCAAAAGAAATAGCATCATTTCTTTTTTCTATATTTCTGGAAAAAGTGTTAGTATTACATTTATGTTTCCAAAAAAGTAAATTTTCAGGAAAATTTTTGAAAAAAATCTGAACACTAGTTTATTATTTGAATAAATTTAAAACACCTTATTTTTAAAAGATAAATTAATAAATAATTTTTTTTTTTTTTTGAGGACATGGGACGTGACAAAAAATGTTTTTTTTATTAGCAATTCATTTTAGACTTCGTTATAATGCAAAAAGTATTTAAAAGATAAATTAATAAATAATTTTTTTTTTGAGGAAATGGGACGTGACAAAAAATGTTTTTTTTATTATCAATTCATTTTAGACTTCGTTATAATGCAAAAAGTATTTAATTTTTCCCATGTTTCACAATGAACGGATCGTAAAACACGCTCTACAGTAGATCACCGATGTCAAGCAGTGGTCATTGAGTGGGTGGGTGACCACTTTGATCAGCTTGCGAAAGTATCACGGGTGCGAGATATCGATCCTCGTAAGACTGTTCTACCGTAAAGTGCTCGACTTCGCCCAGGTCGTCGGACTTCCACAGCAGGAGGAGGCTGCAGAGGACTGTGATAACACACAAGCCTATGGAACATACTCGGGGATGTATCCTAGACAGTCGTCATTGTGCCAGTCTTGAGCGACGTAAATGAAGTAATACTACATCATTATAGATCGACAGCCCGTTATGGGCCTTGGTTGTTGGCTCAAGCATCATCAACAATGACACGTCGTTGGACTCATGGTTCGGTTTAAGGGAAAATTCTAAATGTTAATTTATACATACTGAATCCAAAAATAGAATAAGAAAAGAGGAAGTAAATAACTAACTGTGAGAAAGCTTTTAATGTTAAATAAAAAATGAAGAAGGAGAATTCAGATTAAGAAATAACTTTAAGAGATTAGTTGAAGTTTTTTATGTATCTATGTTGTATGTTTATATATATTTTTATATAAATATGTTACATGTGTAAAGTGATTTGTGGGATAGGAAAAAGATAATAATTAATTTAGCAATTAACAAACTTAATTTTAAAAGAAGATATAACAATTAATGTTGAAGACATTAAAACCTGGGAGCTGCCCACACGCAGCGTTGATGAACGAAGAATAACTAGTTATTAAGCAATAAAATTCAGAAGCCGAGAATTTTCCTTTTTCGACTCTCAGGAGCCGATGAATGAAGAAGTTGATGATTCCTTTAAGGATAATATATATATATATATATACATACATTAAAATTACGCAGAAACTTAATCAATAAACAGCTCTTACTATTGCTGAAGAATGAAGAAGCAATAAATAGGATTTTTGTTCAGTTTCAACACTCATTTTAGTTTATTAAGGGTAATTTTCCATGAACCGAGATGGCACAGTGGGTAAAGCACTCAGCTGTTATTGTGAAGAACGCGACTCGATCCCCGAAACTCTCATCGATGGGTACCATCTTATCTGGGATGTAAAGGTGGTCAATGTGCAATGCTGATCCCGTTGCCACCATTATTTAATTATAAAGTCGTTACCTACATGACCCTCTTAGCCCACAATGAGCTGTTGGGGAAATACTTCACTAAAGTTAAGATTAAAAGCAGATTTATTCACTTGAAGTTTAAAAATTAATCAGTATAACACATTTAGAAAACATAACATTTTAAAACTAATATGAAAAAACTTGTATTTTCAGTTTGAAAAGTCTAATATTAACTAACTTAAACTTAAAAATACTACATATAGCTATGACCACATCAATTCGAATGTTTCTACAACATCATTGTTCAATAATATTTTCCTTAACTAATTCTTCCATTTAATAAATTTCGCTTTTATGTGATGAAAATAACGAAATTGCAGTAAAATTATTAATCAATATTTTAGTTAAAGGTTACAGAAGAGTTTGCTAAATTTAAGAAAGAAACTTGGAAAACTGCAACATCTTTTGCATGGAAGAATTTCAAAGGCCAAAACGAAACATCTTATCGATGGTTTAAAGCTTTATCTGTCTTGGGATCAGCTGCTCTGGATGAAGAAAAGTTTAAAGAAGTAATAATGATATTTATCATTAGTAATCACCCAACTTTTTTTTTAAAAAAAACTTATAAAATTAAAAATATTTCGTACTATTATTCTATTCTCAAAAGACAAATTTTAAATATAGTTATAAAAGTCGTGAAGGTACAGTGGGTAAGGCTCTGAGCTATCGTTATAAAGACCTGAGCATGGCTGGGAAATGAAGGCTGTTGGTGCACTCTCGGAAATAATACTATCTCATTTGACGATTCCGCAATCTTTGAGCTACATTTCGTATTTTGATAATCATTTCGGCTAAAACTCACATGATTTACCTCCATTTTACGCAAATGCTGACTAGTTTCGCTTTAAAGAATACTTCTTGAAGCTGAATGTAACCTTGTTCTTCCTTAAACAAATGTTTTCTTGTCTTCTAGAGTCAATGCTAAGAAGTTGAAAAGGAAAAAAAGTTGATTGTTCAGTGAGTGGGTTGGTATTCAACGGAGGAAATTCGTGAAGTTGTAACCTAAATTATGAAAAAATGAGAATCGCGCAACTAATCATGAAGATGTAGTTTACCCAGATGAAAAAAAATGTTTTATTAATTAAAATGTGTCATTTTTGCATAAAACAGCAAATTTTTAATGAAAAATTTAAAATAATTGGCTTTTCAACAACTATAGGATCTTTTGTAGTAAAACTATTAAAAATACTTTTATTTAATTTCAGAAATACCTTTAGATGTAATGAAATGACCTGACATTTTGACCACAATCAGCGCTATTTAAAAGACTACTTTTTTAAAATCAAAAACTACCGAATTCTCGACAATTACAGTGATAGATACCGGCAAAACATGTACTCCGGGAAAATTTGAACTCACGCTGCCTCTGAATCGTTTTTGATTGGTTCTCGGATTAACAAAGCTATATAAAATTTGATACCAGTTTATTCCGAATCNAACACAACTTAATTAGTTCTTCAACAGTAGAAGGAGATGCTATACTCAGAAAATTACGAAATTTTTCTGGTACGTCAGCTTTGATGGATTCTAGCAACAGCTCCTCATCTATGCTTAGATCCTTCGACGCTCTCCACTTCTCTGTAGCATATTCAGAAAATGTCTTTTTTGGAGATGGCCTCATAGATAGAAAAAGTTCATACTTCTCTTCTCTAGAAAGAGAAAATTTTTCTTGTAGTTTTTCCTCGAGTTCGGTCCATTTTTCAATTTCTATGCATTCATTAATGTAGAAGGTAAATAAGTCTCTTTTCAGGTATTCAGATATGTTATTTATTTTCCAGTTTTCTTCCAAATGTAGGATTTCACATTTTTTATTGAAATACTTGATCCAGTTGGGAAAATTATTTTTATCCTCACACGGAGAAATATTAACGCGTGCTGGAGCATCCACCTGTTTTTCTTCTGAATCAGACATTATTCTTTTAATTTTTCTGTTTCTTAATTCCAAAGTCATCAAAATAAAGTTCTAATCGGTGATTAAAGCGAGAAGAAGACAAAACAAAGAGAGAAATAACAGTCCTCGTTCTTCTTAACCACACCCACGCATTCGAATTTCTAATCCAAGGTTACGAATCATTTTAGAAGCGAAAGTCGAAAATCAAAAGATGTATTCCATTGTTAAATTAAGCATCATTTTCAGTTTTCAATAATAATTTTTCGCGACAGGAAACTATCACTGCCGACTTATCTGTTACGCTTTTAAAGCCTAAACATTGTAAGTTCGTAGTGTGGCCGGTGCTTCTTGAAACAGATACAGGAAAATACAGGAATCATAATATAATTTTATTAAAGTAAGGGCCAGAGCCCCAGAATGACAACCTTACATGCTGGTGGATAGGTAGAGAATAGCACATTTGACCTTGGAAAGAGGGTTTTTATATCTTTCTGGACAATATATTTAAATGTTAATAGGTCTCAGTAGCGTGGGACTGATCAATTTCCCAAGCTGCTAAAGCCACATCATCACATTTTTTGAGATAATTAGATCAATATTATTACTTTCTTGTGGGAAAGGTTTTTAAACGTTTGCGCGTTAGATAAATGCTCTATTTAAGGATTATATTTAATATATAATTGTTTTAACATTACATATATATATATTCAGCATCTGCCTAAGAAATAATTGAATATTATCCTTAACCTATTTATATTCGTGTATTATCAAAAGTATTTTTTCATAATTATATCCACCGGAAACGATTAGTAGTAATTATTATGGGGTGAAGATTTTCAGTATTGATTGTTTAAATTTCCATGGAGTATCTTTAATCATGGTATTTCTGTTTTTTTTTTTTTTTTTTTTTTTTTTTTTTTTTTTTTTTTTTTTTATTGTGTGTGAAACGGAATTTTGATTAATTATTGAAACATTATTTAGAATCTCTTCTCGATTTAATTCGAAGAAAATAAAATGTAAGAGACGGGAAATAAATAACGAAAAAAAGAAACACTCAGACACCAAAAGAATTTATTTTATTGTTCTATAACAGTCCACCACAAAAATGGGAAAAGTAGCAGGCCATCTAAACCAAAACTATGTAGTTACCATAGCAACGACAGATTACCGAAACTGTGAAGTCTCCGCTTTGCGCCAAAGTAGTGCAGTCACATTTCGCGCATTCTGGATAAGCAAGCCGTGGCGCAAGCTCAAATAATCACTCAGGTGTAATTTACCTTAAGAGAAAATTCTTAGCGAAATGACGAAATACGCTGACAATTTGACAGCATCACTTCTTACGTAATTCTCTAAATCCATATCTTCTATCTAAAAACATCCGCAGTTTATGTGATCTTGGCCTCCATTGCATTTAACATCGTCAAACGGTAGACAGGTTTTAGTAAGCTTCAATTTTCTCTAAAAAATGATGGAGCCTAGATCTCCTGGGATCATTGTGAGTATATTTATATCAATAAAATTATTTTAGTCTCGTTGCTGAATGCGTACTATTGTTAAGGCACACAAAAAAATTATTTGTCACAAAATCATTTGTCACAAAATCATTTGTGTCACAAAATTATTTGTTCCAAAATCATTTGTGACGCATCATTATGTTTTTGTGTCAAATTCTGTTTTTCGACTTTTATAGTAAATAGAAAAGTTACTAGTAAGTATTTAAATTTATAAATGGTAGCTTTAGATACTATTAAGTAGCATATGTAACATGCTGAATATGTACAAAAGTTTTGGTGTGTCTTTTCCATCCATTGTTTGTTTTAAAAAGTTAAATGATGAAGATATTCCCTAACCATTATTTTATGAAAAATCCTACTTTTAGTTTATGTTACAATGAACACCATTTAGTTTCTACTCATAAAATGTTGTTAATGAGTTAATTGATTGTTTTCTGGGCTAATTAGTAACTGCTTGTAAAATTAAAAAGTTAAAATGTATCATTTCCTTATGAATGCTACAAGTACCAGAGGGGGCCATATTTTTGACCCCTTACTTCCTTTAGTCACAACGTACCACACTTCACATTACTTGTGCATAAACATTCACTAGTTTTTCAAAAACAAAACACATATTGTAGACCCTATTTCAAATTTTATTTTTAAACTTTGATTATATGCTTAATGACACCAATGAGCATAACAATGGTGTGTTATTTTTACTATTTGAGAAAAAATAAAAACAGATTAAAAGTGTTTATTTGCAGATTATTTTCAATTTTGACTAAAATGTATGTTGTCAGAGATCCCTCACAACTCTAAGAGTTTCCTCTGCGATATCATTTGAGGACAAATCTTTATTCATATTTTCAAATGCATTTTTTTTTTTTAAAAATTTAGTCTTTAGTTTTGTGCACAAAGTGAATAATATAGTGTGCGTTAAATGACACATTTTGAGTTCTAAATTCAATATTCTGTTGATTAAATTTTGCTTCTTTTCTTTGGTGTTTTAGTATTTCATATGTGTCATTCATTTTGTTGCTTTATTAAATACATTTTTTTTGTTTTTCTCATATGATTTTGTGAAGATGGGAAGCACCTACCTGTCCTATTTGTACTGTAGATAAAAATAACTCATTTGTTGATAAAAATGATATACTGTTGATAAAAATAGTGATTTAGGGCTTAAAAAAACCTGTAGTTTTATAAAAAGAAAAAGAATGGCTAGCCCACCCAGGCTTTAATGAGAAGAACTCTGGTTTTTGATTTAAAAGAAGCAGAAAAAAATATTCTTAAATCCATATTTGATTATTTTTAATTTGTGCACAATTTTGATTTTTTTTAATGAGACTACATGAAAAGATCTCACGGAATAACCTCTTGTTTTGTTGCTTTTGAGGGGCGTTCAATTGATCATTTTTATTGCTTAATGATTGTTAACCTTAAAATGAATCAATTAAAAAATCCTCAAGTGTATATTTTATCAACACACATATGGATCCACAGCTTATTCGAATCCAATTTAAAATTAGCGTTACAATTCCATCTACAATTCTTTTTCTTAATTCATTCTTAAAATCCTACTTAAATTTTTGCTTAGTAACTTGTAAAATGTTTTTCACGAAGGAAAACATTTTCACAAAACAGTCGCTTTTCTCCATGTTGATGCTTTGCGTTATTTCAAAATAAGCGTAGACAATGCTGGCTTTAGATAGGCTAAGCTTGACTTAACAGTCATGAGTAACAGTTGCAAACTCACAGCAGTTATAAAACTAGCATATTATATTGCAAAAAAGCATCATTTCATATTACGACGGGGCTGTCGAAAAACGGCCTTGACACATGTCAAATGAATGAGTAAGTGATAGTTAGATTTTATTTTTTATAGAAATTATTTTCAGTTAGCAGTTTTCATAAATTTAAGTTTGTCTTAGCATGATACTTTTTTTACTTTTTGCCTATATTCTCAGTAAGACAAAATCATCTTGTCAAAAAAAAGCAAATTTCTCTCCTTTTTTTTATACATTTTAATTACGTATTTAAAAAGATTTTTTTTATTTCCAATGACAGACATGAAAGACAAATTTGTAGCTGAGAACAATGCAAAGAAAGAAAAAAAAAACGGAAACAAGAGCTACAAAAAGAAAGAGTCTATAGGTCATTAATAATGCATCTCGCCCGCCAATAACGTTCCCACAAGGGCCCCGGAGGAAGTGCAGGGCAAGGTCTCAGATGGTTAGCGTCCGTTTCTTCTTGCAGGTTACATAATGGACAAAAGGGCCTTGAAAGGATTTTGATTCTGTAACAGGTGTTTCGATGAACAGTCATGGCTAGTGGCAAGGCAAAAAAGGGCCGCAGATTTTTCTCTTGGCCATGACGGAATATCTTTAATTCCTTTCAGCCAGTCCTTATCTTTATTTGCTTCTAGGAGTTTTGCCTTAAATGTTGTTCGAAGAGAGATTTTTATTTTCTTCTTTGCGGTGTAGAAAAGAACTGACTTTAGAGATATTTGTATAATCTTGGCGGCTTTTTTGACCAAGAAATCTGCAGTTTCGTTACCTTGAAGTCCACAGTGCGCTGGTACCCATTGCATGGCGACATTTTTGTTGTGTTGATCAAGCCTGCGAAGGGCTTGACGACAGTGTAAAATATCGGCAGATGCGGAAGCAATAGCTTGGAGTGCGGCCTTGGAGTCAGAGAGGATGACTACGTTATTGAATTTTACAAGGTGATTCTGAAGTTGTGATAGAGCAACGTTTATTGCCGATACTTCTGCATCGAAGGCTGTTCTAGACGAACCAATAGGGGTGTAAAACGAAAAAAGGTTGCAGGAAACTCCGGCTCCTGCATTAGTGTCATCAGCCAATCTTGAACCGTCTGTGAATATATGTAGCCATTTGTGCTCCGGGTACAGTAAGTGTAAAGTCTCCAGGGCGATAGATTTTAAGACTTGGTTATTTGTGTCTCTCTTGGAAACATCTTGACATAGATTTAAACCCAGTGAGTATCTTTCTTTTTCGATAGGGCACTCTGATCTAATAAGGTTTTCTGTCTTCCGAGTGACATTTAGTTGGTCTTTTAGTATTTAAAAAGATAGTTTACGGAAAAAGTCGAGGACACTTGTATGCACATATTCTGTTTTCTGAGAGTTTTTGTTTAAAATTTGAGGGCTGTTCTTAAGATGTCTTCTCACCTTACTCATTTTGATAAAAATATATATTTAACTATCATAATCTGTGCTGAAAATTTTTCTTCTCTCTTTCTTTTTTAGATCGCAGATGATTACAAAGGTTATCACCCTGATTTCTTTTGCATACCCAAATATTATGAAGGTGCACTTGAATGTGTCTTGTTACCTGGTGGGGTAATAAGGGACAGGTATAATGACTCTTTATTACCGTTATATAAAGAAATTGTTCTTAAATAATAGTGAGGCCTGAATCTAAATTTAATTATTGTGTGCAGGGCTTGAAATTAACTGTAATTGTTTTTAAAATATATTTTGTTATATTCGGTTAATTATTTTCTGTAAATAAATGCTACAATATACATAAGAAGATCTATATCATGCAACTCAATAAACCGCAATTCTTCATAAACCACACTACCTTTGTGGGAGTAAACAATGAAATTTGCTGTTTAAAATTTCTATAGCAAAAACTAACTTTTTTTTCATTATTTTCTAAGAGATCTAAATTTCAAAAGCTAGATCAATCAAAATTTATTCATTTGTTACTAGTTATAAGCAATACTGTGGAAAATTTCAAAAAACAATTTTCTGCAAATAATGAATACTTAAATGCATATTTTGTGTTTTAAATCTTTGTCACTAAAAATATTTTAAGATTGATTTGTTCCAGACTAATCTTGTCATATTTATTGGGTTAGTTTAAAAATGAGTGAAATGATCTATCTATCACAAAAGTCCATAAAACAAATGAGTCCCAGGTTCTAAGATTTGCATCTCTTCTGTATATCTATTGATATAATTTGAAAAAAAGAACTTAATAATTTTTTTTTTCTGTCTGTCTGTTAAAATTGTATTATATCTACTTTAGTTTAAACTTTTATCTTTATAGAACTAAAAAGTTTTGATTATTTTTTCTTGAATAAAGATATGGTAAATAAATTTTGTTTGTCGCAGAAAACAAAGTTAGTCATTATGTATATTGAAATTTTGTATATTTAATTACATATATTTTATGTTTTTAAACTGCTTCCACAAACTTTTGCAATATTTATTTATTTATAATTTTTTTTTGTTGAAAATATATACTTTACCAAAAATTAAAATGTACCAATGATCCATAAAGCAGATATTCAATCCTTAACTGTACTTCAGAATCGGAGCATCATTTATCCTGCCCCAGAGATTTGAGGCCTCCCAACATCACTTCAATGTTCATGAGTAAATAATTTCTATAGCTTTTGAACTCAGGATATTGAGACCTCATCAGGATGTCATTTGAACCACGAGGGAAGCATTGATTGTGCTATTTCATTTATTATATCAATGTGAAATTTGCATTTCATTGTAATCTGGCTTTTGGAAACAAACCACGATAATTATTGAGTTAGGAAAGCACTTAAAATGTTACATAAATCAGGTCTGCACGACTTTTTGTTGTTGCTGATAGGTAGCCTTAAAATCTAAAATTTGCTATGTTGGAATCCAATAGGAGTAAGATAAAACTGTCATCGTAAAAATGTAAGATGTATTTTGACCCTAATTGTAAATAACATCTATATATGTGTAACAATTTGCAAGAAATGACAGCTCACTGAACTCATCTCTATAAATAAAACTTAAAAAACGAAATGGTTAAAATATAGTTCAAGCTTGCAATAAGAAAATGAGGAAACAGTTCATATTAGGGAAGCATATGATGATCATGATCGTGGGCTTTAATTCCACTGGAAGTCCTGGGCCACCATGGCTCTATCAATAGAAATTAACCCTATTCAATCATTTGGATGTAGAGACTTTGCTGTAAAAAAAATAGTTTCCTGTTTGAAAAGTCAAACTCATTCTCAGTGTGCCATGCAATAATTTCTTACACCATCTGATTCCTTTTCATCTTAGCTGAGTATGAAAGACCATGAATTATACTTTTTCTTTAAGCTTTGCATCCAAGGTCTTTTTTGAACTTTCGGTCTAGCTTTCCAGTAGATCCTTTCCTCTTTTGCCCTGAACAGACTACGGTCTGTCAGATCTTGTTCTCTTATCAACTGAAGACATCTCATTATAACTTGAAGTTCTGGAAATGCAATCCCGGGGCTTTCAACTCTCTAAAAAATTTCCCGGTTACTCTCCTTCTATGAATTTACCTATCACTATTTTTTTTAATTTCTTCATTCTACCTAGGTAAAGAAAAATTATAAGTAGTACAACATATAAGCTTGCAATAGCTTATATAATACCATTTACTAAATTCTCTGAAAGGAATTGGAACTTGTAACAATTATATAGTTTTTTTTTTTAACTCTCTTCAAAAGTTGTATGAGAACTTTTTGGGTTGTAAAGCATTTTTAAATTTGTACATTTGGGCAAAAATGGATTAAAATGTCTTTTTTTAAAAATAAAAAAAAAGCCAGTTCTTTAAGATTGCTGATTTGAAATTAGGGATACTAAAGTATCTAAGATTTGTTAACAAGTTTCATGCAATAGGAGAAAGAAAAAAAATTTCCAAGTATAATAGGTAGCAAAAAATACTTAATGATTTGATTTTGGTACTTAGTCAATAATTTGTTTAATCTGGACATTCCCTAAACACATACGATCAAAACAAATATACATAGCTTTTAAAATATCATAATAAGATTGTATTATATTTCATTTTAGAATCGAGAGGCTAGCACAGGATATTGCTGAAGACCTAGGGAATGAACCCGTTTGTGCTCTTTGTGTTTTAAAAGGAGGTTATAAGTTTTTTACTGATCTTATTGACCAAATAAAGAAGTATAACCACTTTGCCACACGCAACACCATACGTATGTCAGTAGATTTCATCCGCATCAAAAGTTACAAGGTAAAGGTAATTAAAACTCGTACATTTTTTTAAAAGCATTTTTTTAAAAATTTTTTATACTGGGTTGGCTTAATTTATAAATGTATTCTTAAGGCTGTAATTATTTTTATTAAGTCTGATTTTATTAAAATTGAAGGTTTTATCTGTAGCAATGATGAGATGGTAATGTGTGTAAATTATTATTTAATGTTCAAAATAAACTTAGAAGAGAAAGAAAGACTAACTGTAGATTAAAGTGTTGTAAAATAATTTGCTATTTAATACTCAAACACATTACAATATTGAATTATTATGTATTATATGCTATTTATAGATTATTCTACGTAAAATACTAATAAACTTTACAAATTCATAGTTCCCAATTCTTCCACATTTATCCCTGTTTTTCGCCTTTCCGTATCTGGTCTAAAATCTTGTATATAAATCCATAACAACAAATCCAAAACTCTATCTTTTCAAGAAAATGATCGACAAGAGTTAAAACTGCAGAAATTTGAAGAAAATCCACATGGATTGATAACATGGCAAGATAAATTTATTGACGTACATAAATCAAACTAAAAATTCAAAGATTTTAAAATCCACATAGAATTTGTTAACAAAAACCGTCGAAAAAGCGCAAATCAAATGAGGAAAATAAGTACTGAAGTGCACAGTTGGAAGTTTGCATGTTGTAATACTAAACAGGATTTTAAAAACCTTGTAGAAATCATTGAAGTGGTAATTACTTAAAAAATGATAGACAAGACAATACACAATACAAATAGATATGAACTGAACATGTCAAAAACTGATTGCCCAGTTGGAAATTCGTGTGTGTCTCTCATATCAACATATTAGTATATATAATGAGATTTTAAAAGCCTATCAGTTGTGAAAATTACCGAAAGAAAGATAGACAAACCAACAAGAATGAATCAACTGTACTAAAATGTTAATTCAAAAATGCACATTACTATATTTGCATGCTGTAATAAAATCAAAGAAAAATTTATGATTTTAAAAACTGTGTAAAAATCTGCAACAATAACATAAGAAAAGATTACATGAAATATGTTGCAATCTGCGGGAATTGAGGATGTCCATAAGTAATTATACGAATGCACGATCGAAATATACGTTTCCCAATAAGATCGCATTAAAAAATAACACGACTTTATGAACCTTTTGAAATAGATAATAACAACTGCCTAAAAACTGATTGAAAAATCACATAGATTCATAAAAGAATCAGCGTGATTCAAAATTCACACGTATGATGCAGATTTTTAAAAAAATCGGAGTTTTAAAATAGTGTGTATTTACTCCAGAACTTCCTCAATTCGTAACTAGCGTGAGGTAATAATATCATGCTTAATTCAATTTTACTGTAGTTTATCCTCTCATTATCACATCAGAACTACCTTAAGTCGATTAAAAATTGACCTTTTCACGTCATATCTTTAAAGCTGACAAAAGTGTGTGATTTTTTTTGTTTTTGGAATTTTTTTCTTTTGTAATAGTCGATTATGCATATTTTTATGTTCTGTTTCGTAACTGTCATTAAACAGGTGACTTAATTTTGAGTTTACGACTACTAATGCTCAACTCCGTAGCCTTGTCAATTTGAACCCAATCTATAAGACAAAGGAAACTTCTGGATCATGCATTGGGAGAAATTTTGCCTTCATGAAAGACTTTTTGATGGAATTCACCCGCATTTGCGTTACATGGTGAGGAAAACCATTAAACTTCCCCCGTTAAAGGTTCCCACTCTAACCCATGATTTGTCTACCACTGAGGATATTTTACGTCAGCACTCTAGACGGTGCAAGCTGGATGCGGAATTCGTGTCGACCAGCCCTCGCTGGGATTCGAACCCGGTTCACCTCATTGGAAGATGAACGCTCTATCCCCTGAGCCATCGCGGCTCTGATTAAGCATATTGTTGGAAGTGATCTAGGTTAGAGTTTTTTATTCTTTTCTTTTATAATGTAAAATGAAGTGAAATTCAATATATAATTAGACGTGCCGACCGGACTGCGTAGTGGTCAGGGAGCTGGGACATGGCATGGATTTTCTTTCATTCTATCTGTTATTACTGTGGGAGCACCTAATATGATTCCCCTGAAAGAGTGGCCGACAAATCTGATACCTGAATGATGTGTGTCAATCGGTGGGCATTAGAAAGAAAGCAGACGTTTTGTATAAAAATAAAATTACAAAATGGAAAAATTTAATGTTCTTAATTACCATAAATTTACAACGTTTTGAACCTCAGAAAAGCTTCTGTATTTTAAGTGTTTTCTTCTCCAATTTTCTAGTGGATCTTTCATAATTTCAAAAATTGGGGTTGGCAGGTATGAACATTTATTCTTTTATAGAATGCAGTGTTACACAGCTTATGTGATATGAATACAATAAATATATAAATGTTTTTATGGAAATTATATGTATTTGTTACAGCTTTATCATTGAACTTGTCAAATTTAATTTAAAATGTCTCTCTATAGCTAGAATTTTATCTCTGATATCATGGTTTATATTTTTTGTGTGTAAATAATTATTCTTCCTACAGTTCTTTCTATATATTTAATTACCATTTTTTTAAAGAATTATTTGTTAGACTTAACTATTAAAAACATTTACTTTCCATTGTTTTGTATCTTGTTTTTATGTTTTATTTTGCATCTTAAATGATTTCAATGTATCTTATAAAGATTTCATTCAATGTATTTTATAAATGATGTCAAATATATCTTATAAAGAGTTACCAAAGATTTTGTAATGCTATAAATAATAAAAAGTTTATTGTTAATAAAATTCTGCTATGGCCGTGTAAACATTGGTGTATATTAATTTCCATAATTTTTTTTCTATGTACATATATCTATGTTTCTATGTTAGTGCTATCTCTATGTACCTAAAAATTAACCAAAAAACAAATCTTTTGGTCACACTTTTTTTTTTAATTTTAATTAAATTTAAACATTATTTATTATAACAATATTCCTATGATTTAAAAAGAAATTTTTAATATTCTTCTTATAATTCTAGAAGTGTTTAAATAATAGTGGGAAAATATTAAAAATTTCTTTTATTAATAATAATAATAAATTAAAATTTATTAAGAATTATATAAATAATTTTACACAGTTATAGAAATTTTTATTATTATTAAATGTTTATTTTTTAGTAAATTTTTTGATAACTTTATGGATATCTGGCCTATGAAGCGCAACTGAACAGTGAAAGAATGGAGAGAAAAAAAGTGTTCATAAAGATCTGAGTTTTACTTTGAAAATATGACGGATTTTTATCTTATAAAATCTATTTTGATCTAGAGTTATTCATTATATAACATTTGTTGACACAGTATCTGCTTTTACAAAAAAAATTTTGATTGTCATAAATATAATTGAGTGCAAATGTACAAAATAACTTAAATATAATTTCTTAAAATAATAATAAAACTTAATATTATTTAGTTCTAGACTTTGCTAATTTCTCTTTGTTTTATTGTAAATACTCCCCATTTCTGTTTAATAAAAGAAATTTACTTATGATTATAAAATTTTCTTGTAAGAAGAAATACCAAATTAGATTTTTTTAGCTTAGCTTATTACTGAATTGGAGACTTAAATTAGCAATTCTGCACAATAAGTAAAACAAATAGAGAATAAGTTTTTTGAATCTGCTATTTTATTTAGTTTTAATTTTGACTTTTTAAAAAAAGTGATCTCATTTAAGGTTATTTTTCTATTGTGTTACTGGTAAGGCTCTAATAGAATGTAATAAAGTTCTATTAAAACTAGTAAAATTCTAAAAGAATATACTACTATTTTTATTTTAAAATATGAATACTTTTATATATTTGATTAGTTGATTTTTTATGCTTTACTTATTGAAGTTATAAATTTAACAGGATTAAGAAAAAATTATATTTCTATGTAATGATTGATATTTCAAATTATTTTTTTATAATATTCAAATTTTAATATGCTTATGGTAAATTGAATTTTATAGGATGATATTAGCGATGATGTTCAAGTTATTGGTGTGGATGATTTAAGTGAATTTACAGGAAAGGTTTGCATAATTTCTTACTATATGTTTGCATGTTTTTCTTTAACTTAATACTTATACAAAAATAGGAACTGCTCTATGATTTAATAGTGTGTTCATTTTACTCTGACTAGAAATTGATACAGTAGAGAATGGATACGAAATTATATACAATATTGTCTCAAAATTCTGCTACTTTAGAATCAGTTTGAAATACATGTAACAAACTATTATTTACAGGAGCATAGTTCCTGCTATCATAATTAAAGTAATTTCTAATCATAACATACTATACATTTGTATTTGCACAATATACATTTGCTCAATTTTTTAACAAAATTTTAATTTCAATTTTTTTGCTTCTTTCATTGGTCATATTAAGCTACATATTTTTTACAACAATAATAAACAGATTTAAGCTAATTCAGACACATTATGCACTTAATTTGTTGTTTTATTTCATTGTATAAAAATTGAGTTTAAATTATTTTATTGCTTATCTTACGTAAATAATTCACATTTAATGCAAAATAACTTTATTCAATTAATATTTTTTATATATTCTTTATAATGCTAAGTGTGGATAAAAGGCCTGTAAAATGTTTAGTATTTCAATGCTACCTGTTCACTTTTGACGTTTATGTTGACCCCTTCTTTTCTCTATAAGAAGAGAAAACTGTAAAATGTTCAGCCTTTTTCCATAGTGGTTACAGAATTCGACTGCGGACCCAAAATTTCTTGAGTTCATCTCCACAAATGTTCATTACAAATCAAAAAGTTTGCAGCTGTTAGTGTGAATAATTGCTCCAATAATATGAATCATAAATTAAATATCTTTTTCAAAATACAATTGGTGGTTTACAAACTTTTCATTTGGTAAAATCAACCGGATTCTCTCCCCCTTCCCTTTTATTTCATCCCAATTAATTTCATTATTAATTTTCTTATGGAGCATAGTATAACGAAAGTTTATTGTTTTATATGTTCTTTGAAACTCAAAAGCTGTCTATTATTTCAGAACGTCTTGATAGTAGAAGATGTTATTGATACTGGCCGTACCATTAAAGAATTACTAAGACTATTAAAAACCTATCATGTGAAGTCTGCTAAAGTTGCAAGGTAACATTATATTTCCTTGTAAATCAATTTTAATACCAATCTTGTGAGTTATTTCTTAACATGCATTTTTTACCTATAAATACAACATACTGTTAAATATTATGTAGTTGTGTATATACACTACTGACATAGTTTGAGTTTACTTATTTTCTTAGTTTATTCATTTACACTAGAAAACATATGCTACTGAAGAATAGTTTAAAATTACTTCCAAAAGGACACTTATTTTCTATATATGTTTTATCCATATATATAAAAGAAAAAAAAATATTTTAATAAGTAAATTTTTAACCTTTTTTTTATTATCCTTTGTTTTTGATTTTATTTTCTTATGAAATAACTTAATCATTTACTAATTAAGTTGTTATAATTTTTTTAACCATCAAATTACACAGTTTTCATGTACAGTATACTCTCGATATCTCGAAAACCTTATGTCAAAAAAATATTTTTCCCCTTAACATTTTTATCCACATGTTAATTTCAGTTCCTATGTCAAAGGGTTTTTTCTCAAAACCTTGTTATGTCGAATTTTTTTCACAATAGAAAATTAAATTTTTCGAAAAAATCATAATGTCAGTTCATAGTAAACTAATTCTTTCTATTTAGCGCATAATCTTACTTTTAAAAATGAAATTATTGTTGTTGTATTTAGACTTGAAGTCAACTATTATTACATACATATTTATTAGTAGTTATTCTTATGTTTCTACTTTTTTAGAGTAATATTTTCGAATATATTTTCGACTTTTTAGATCATATTTAGTTCTGAACTTGCTATCTTAAAAACTCTTAGCTTCCCTTCAACTTTGAGATATCGAAAATATAATATCTTTAAAATAAGGATTAATCTTATTTTTCATAAGGTCCCATTTTTCTGAAAAAGTATGCAGAAATTGGAATTTCTTGGTCATTAGTTTATGTCTTGTTTCATCAAAGTACTTAACTGTACTTTGATTAGATAATTTTATTTTTATGTAAATTCATTAAATTTAACATTTGTTAGCCCATCCATAATGTGTGAGTAGCTTTAGTAGTTGCTTGGCTACTATACTGACATCTTTTGCCACTATTTGAATTGACTTAGTAAAATAAGATTCAACTCTAGAGTATTGTATTTAATAAGTTATTCAGTATCACTTATCATATCATTAGTTGTAATAAAATTAAAAAATTTCTCATTCCTTTATTTTTTTCAGTTTACTCGTAAAACGCACAGCCGGAAATTGCTACAGACCTGACTGTAAGTAACAAATTATTCTGTTGCTAAAGTCATAGTGTAACCCTCCTATTAAGTAATTTGTCCTTCCAATTTCAGATACAGGTTTTGAAGTTCCAGACAAATTTGTTGTTGGGTATGCCATTGATTACAACGAATATTTTAGAGATGTTGATGTAAGTATTCAAATAGTCAGTTATAATGACAATTTATAATAGCAGATAAAACTGTAATCCTATCAAGCTTGTCTTTAATGTTAAAATAAGATCTCTTTTTCATTTGTTCTGAACAACTATTTTGATTTAAAATACGTATGTCGAGTGAACTGGTTTTGCCTACAGATTGTAGACTGAATTATATAGCTCTAGACTTCATGAAAGGCAAAAATGTTTGAACTACGAGTTTCAAAATCGTAACAAGTTTTTACAAAAAGAAAATGAGTGAATCGCTTTTGACGTCATTCGATCAGAGAGAATGCTGATTTTAATTGTAAGTTGCCAAGAAGATAAATAATAATGATAGATATATTGTCAACAATAAATTTTTTAAGTGTTTGGCAAAGCAGGATTTCTAAAAGTAGACAAAGAACTTTTCTTTTGTCTGGAAAATGATAACTTAGCCGGTGGTCTCAAACGTACGGCATTAAAAAGTGATTTTTACTTTCTTGTATTAATACCAGAAATAAATGTCTTCATTTAAACATTTTTCATATAATATTGCTCACTTAAGGAACAGAAAAAATTATATTTTTGGCTTAATAAAAGGTAAATACTTTTTAACTCTTTACAAACATACGATTTTGTATGTTTGGACATAGGAAATTTGTTGTAATAGCAGACTTCCAGTAATATGATGTACTTGTTCATATTATTTTGTTTATTATGACTGATAATGTGATCAAAAATTTTTGTCTCTCAAATTTAAGAATGGATGATCTGCTATTACATATTTTTAATACTTTTAAAAATAAGTAAATTTCTGAAGATATTCTTCCTCTTTGCAGTTTCACATAAAAGCGCAATTTAAGTATTTTACTAAAGCATTCACGTTGTTGGGTGATTTAATAATAGCTCATTTGGGGAAACCAAACTTTAACAAAACAGGAACTTTTCCTGTCTCTATGCAGCTGTCAGACTTGATGAAAACGTCACCTCCTATTAGCAAAATTTGTTTCAAACTCACTTTTTTTTTTAAATAGTTTTTGTAGAACTTAGTATGTATTGATTTATACCACAGGGATGAGTTTGGTAAAGAATCAAAAAAGCTGAAAATATAAATCCAAAAATTTTATATCGTGATGCGTAACATTTTTAAAAAGTGCTTAAAGGTGCTTATTTTAGATTTTCATTTTTTAAAAGCCCTTAAAAGTGCTTTTTTCATGGGTTGTTTTTAAAAAAGGCTTAATTTTCAATTTTCAAAAATGTTTTTATTCTTTACCAGGGTTCCCACTCTATGATGAGATTGAAATTCAAGGACTTTCCAGGACTTTTCAAGGACCTCAACAAAATTTTCAAGGACCTTAATCTAAGACCAATTTTAAAAATTATTCTCTTCTATTTTACTAGAAGCAACAATGCTTGTTGTGGCAATAATTAATTTCAAATATAATACCTAAATGCTTTGCCTATATAGAGAGAAGAGAGTATATGTATTATGGACTAAAATTTATATTTTTTTAAAAACAACCCTACTGGTTTTACATATTAATTCACAAAATCATTTTCAGCACAATCTATAACTAATGGTAATGAGGTGTTAATGGTGAAATCCTTTAATCCTGTGTATTTCCATGTGAAGGCTGCATGAAAGACAGAGCTAAATCTTAGGTATTCCATATTCCATGACTATTCCATAACCCCCTCCTCTCCTCTATTAAACATCGTTTCTGAAATTATTCATCCATAATTTACACAACCTTCTCTAAATGTTATGCAGCAACAATTCTTTCTGAAAATAAAAATTAGAAGGAACATATCCCATTTTCACCATGTTTAAAAGCATTATTCGTTATGTGTAATCCACAACTGCCAATGAATATGACCTGGTGGGAATATTTCTCTTTTAATTCACACTGAAGCTTCTAATAGAATTTCCAATTGACATAGGGTCCATCCATGGATAATTGAAGTATTTTAGAGAGCTTTTAACCATCATCCATGCATTTGTAAAAAGAGGACAAAATATTTTCTGCAGTTCCATGACCCATAAATTGGGAGGTAAGATACTTAGTGCAAACTTTATTATCAATTCCTTACCATAATGTCCATCTGCTTAGATTGTAGAGACTGATTTAACGTCTCATCAAAGAGTACAGTGTAGCAATCAACATTCTTCAGCTCATTTATAAGAATCCCTTTGAAGTATAGTGCCAATCCAAAGGAGCCCAAATAGGCTCACTTTGTGGCACTACAAAAAAATTGTCTCGCTATACAGCTATCAGCAAACATTTTGGAGAACAATTTACTAATCCCTTCACAGGAGTTACATGAATAATTACTAGTGATGCACTTCAGACTCCAGAGAATTTCAGCATCAAGCACATTCCTTTTGACCAGATAAGAAGACAATGTTACCTCGGCCACTAAAGTTTCTGTTTCACATGGGGCACACGATGTTGAAGGAGTATTTACACCAGATGAATTAGATGTTGATGTCTTTGGAAAAAGAGAACTCAGGGCATGAGACTGCTTTTTTGTTTTACCTTTCTTTCATGTGTGATTTCAGAGCAGATTCTTCCATTTTCGCGATATCGATCTCCTTCATGCATAATCGGCACTTGGCTCTGAACTTCTTTTCGGGCATCGATAAAATCCATTCTTTATAAGCTTGATTATCCATCCATTGGGGATTAAAATAGCACTTCCCAGGCATAACTAGTCTAAACTACATAACACAAATACGAAGCCGTGCCTTTGCGAATACGCTTTACAATAAAGTTTTGAAATGACGCAAACGTAAGGACAAGTGCGGATGGTAAAACGGCAAATTTATTGAAAACTACAAGGTACATATTGTTACGAAATTCGAGAGTATTCCAGTTTCGATAAGAAAAAAGAAGATCTAAGCATATGCGACAGAAGATGAAGTGGAGTCTCGCCCCGAACGCATTGATTGTCTGCTGTGCTCCGCGCGCTTGGCAGACACCAAGACGCTAGGCCCGGTTAGAAACGGTGGCGTTAAAAACCACGTAAGAGAGCTCGGGAACAAAACAGAAAGAACGAGAAAGATCCGCGGGTGTTTCATAAAAAGGGCCGCCAGCAGTATTGGACAAATTCAAGGACCTATCAAGTTTTTCAAGGACATAAGACGTTTTTCAAGCACTTTCAAGGACCTAAATTTAGCAACAAAAAATTTCAAGGACTTTCAAGGACTCTCAAGGACCGTGGGAACCCTGTTTACCTTGTCAATTATTTTGAATTTTTTTAATGTATATAGAGCATAAAAATATTTATTGCTTAAAAGGTGCTTATTCTTTGTTGAAAGATTTGGCTACGTACCCTGTATATGTAAAATCTCTTTTTTAAATATTGAAAAAATACCCGAAATTTAATACCTGAAAATAACTAAATTCAAGAATAGTTTCTATTTTTTTTTTTTTTTAATTCTCATGGTTTATGGTTTACCAAAAAGAATTATAAACAAACTTATTTTATTTATTTTCGTTATATGCTTACACCAAAAATTCAACATTGCATGAAAAAATATTATTTCTTTGCCTAAATTTTAAGTGCTTTTCTGACATGTATTAAAAACAGAAATAGTTCATTGAATGATAGGTATTCCTTAATTCATACAGTTTTTTGCACTCATAATTTTTTAGCTCCCATCATTTAATTTCAATAGGAAATGAATCCACAATTCTATTTGCTTCTGGGGGTGAAATGAAATTTGTAATTCATGTACTTTCAAAAACTTGGAAAGTTCTAGTTATTCAGGAAGAAAGGATAAGAGTTTTCCTTTTTTAAACATGCATTACAAAAATTCTGTTAGATTTGATTTTAAAATTCTATTATATTAGTCGCTTAGTTGTAAGAGAAACAATAAATGTTCTTAATTTTTGCAGCACGTGTGCATCGTGAACGAATATGGTAAGAAGAAGTTTGGCACCAGCTATCCGCATAGAAATGCTGTAAGGCAGTGATAATGTTTCTTTTTTGTGAATTAGGTTTTCTGTAGCAGTATTATGTTTTTGAGTATTTTATCGTAGCTTCTCATCTGTTCTGTCAACAAATCCGATTTTTTATACACATTTACATAACTTCAATGTATAATGTTTGAACTATGTGGTGTGATATATAACTATGTTGAAAATTTAGGCATTCTTCTGAATAAGCTTTACTTCTTTACCAGTAAATGTTTTATTTTTATATAATTTATTAAAAATACCATTTAGTATAAATATATATTTTTTATTTCATACTTGTTACACACACAATTATAAATATAAAAACATAAATTTCTGGAATGTATCAAATGCTAACAGAGGCAAATTCTGGAATATTAAAAAACCATTGTTATTAAGATGGTAGGTAGAAAAAGTTTTCTTTTTTAAAACGCCCGTCCATGAGATAAAACTTATTCACAGCAGCCTACTTGTAAGGAACATTATGTATCATGAATCTTTAAGAAGTATCATAATTCAGTTGTTAGTAAGATGTACGTATCAGGTTGAGAAGATGATACATGCCAAGGTGAGAGTCTATCTTCCAAAATACCTTTTTTGGACACTGCAGGAGACTGCAAATCTTTCTAGATTGAAAATACAACCTGTTATTAGATTCTCTTTTCTAAAGTTCAAGAACAGTAATTTCTTAGTTTATTCTACACACAAGTCAAAATTCATGTTTAGTAAAATGCTTAACCCAAAAATAATTTATCAACTCAATGAAAAATTCTAAACGTTAGAGAGCAAACTCGTGAACTTGGGGGGCCTGTAGGTAGAGCACAGATTAAATTTTTCAAGCGATTTTAAAAAGAATTAACACCAATATAAGACATTCTTGTAAAAAGAACTTGACTTACAGTGCATTTTTTTAAGTTACTTTAGAAAATGGATTTACATATTCATTGGATCCAATAGTTCTTTTTTAAAAAAAGTTTTCATGAAAGAAATTTAAAAAATAGAATCAAATGCTATGCCCAAAATAAGAAGCTTGCCAATGAACTTCAAATTACAGTAAAAGAACGCAATGCTAATCTTAAAATGTAAGTTTTTGCATTACATAGATCATTTCAAATGGCAATTATTATTTTAAAACAAATATTACAATAGTTCATATTTTTTATAAACCAAAAAGGGGTAAGTGAAGATTTCAGTCTGACAAGTACCTTTAAATCTGAAATTTCATGCCCTGGCATAAATTATATCTATTTAATATCAGGTTGAGTAAAAAGTTTTCCGCCAAGGGGAGATACCTCTACGACAACATCAGCTATTCACGTGGTAGTTAACCTTTTACCAAACAGGTTTTTGTATTCTAAAGTTGGAACAACACAACTTTGTAATTTGTTTGTCAAAACTTTATTATCTTGTGCATTAAAAAAGTGTTTAAAACGGAATTATTACGTCAACAGATCAGAACGATTATGTACTATGAGTTCCGGAATAAACTGAATGCCACCAAAAATTGTGTGAAAGTTTAGGTTTCAATACTGTTTCTTATGATACAGTAAAAGTTTGGTTTCAAAGGTAAAAGCAAGGGATTTCCAAATTAAAGATGAACCATGTTCTGGCCGCCCTATTGAGGTTGATTATGACAGAAATATTTCAGCACGAATTACTGTTTTAAAGCTTGACATTTGCCAAAAAAAACATTTGCCAATAGTTATTACTCGCGAATGCATAAATCTGATGCCATTTGCGAAAAACGAGTTCAGAAGGAATGTGATTCTCTTTCATCAAGATAACGCCCGGCCACATGTTGGTGCGACGAAAGGCTGGACGCTCTACATGCTGGAGTAGGATTGGATGCAACATCCACCATACGAACAGACCAATCACTATCTGTTTTTACGTCTGCATCTTAATGGCTTAATCTTCCATTCAAATGACAAGTTCATAAATGAGATTGATCGCTTTCTGGACTCGCACACGCCACTGTTCTTCACAAAAGGGATTGAAAATTACCAAAACGCTAGCAGACCATTGTTGATTTGAATGGAGATAACTACCCTCATTAACTTTGCTGATTTTGTATGTATTTATCATTTTACATGATCGTGTTTTTTTACTCAACCCGATATTTTAACATAAAATAGAAGTAATGTTAAATGATTATGATAAAAATTACAAAAATTTATTATGATAAATTTGAAAATGATAAGCTTATAAATTCCCGGAAAAAAAAATGTGCATCATTCTCAGCTAATTTTAAGCAAGTACGCATGAAGAGAGTTAACAGCACAAATTAAATTTAAATTGAAAATCTAATTTGTAAATCATATAAGGTAGTTAACGTTTACTATAAAATTACGGGATCAGACACAAAAATATACTTTCTCTGAATTAACGTACAATTGAAAAGAAAAAAAATTTGGGTAGATTTTAATTTACAATCTTGACAGTCAAAATATTAGATTTAATATTGATAACTTGAAACATATAGACACGGTAAACTAGTCAGAGAGGTTGAACTCTTATTCCTTTTTGCTATATCTGATACTTATTAAGCAAATCAAAAACTTTTTTCCCACAATTATAAAATTTGTTTATTCAAAGGCAATTCTATTTAAAATTAATTCCTGATAATGGCTAGTTTTTATCCTTTTATTTAAAATGAAAAGTACATAAACGGTATAATATGTAATATTAAATGACAAACTACAAAAATATGAACAAAATTCGCTAATCAGTTTCTGAATTACAAACTTTTATAAATCATATATTTAAATTTTCATTATTTCAGAGCTGTTTAATCGTTTTTTATCGAAATTTAAAATTACGTAATTAAAAAGATATTTATACCTTACATTTTAAAATTTTCCGGCCATTGTTGAAAAAATAGAATAAAACAACTATTAAAAATTATTTTTTGAATGGAATTATTTTTAGATTGATGAATTTTATAATAGTGTGTAAAGAGTGAAATTAACAATATATTAATATGCCCAAATTTTCAATCTTTTCTAACAAAACTACTGGAATGATATTTTCCAAGTTAGGGCTAACTCCATATTTCGATAGTAAAATATGTTTATTCAAAGAGTGTGTGTTTATTAACAACAACTAACAACCGTAATTACTTGCTTGTTCAGTACATTATTAAAAACACATTCAGTAATGCCAGTTAAAGTTATTGTTTTGAATTTGTTTCTGTATTACTAGTTACTATTTTTATTAATTTATACACTGCCCTAAAACAATTGAACACATTTCGTTTTTGAAATTTCTCTTCAAATGCTTGAATGAATTTTGAACACCTTATTGTCAGAAAATATAGCAATAAGCTTGTATCAATCACTTAGGCTGCGCAATAACTGCAAAAAATGTTGTAAACATAGTTAATGGACATAATTTATAAAGAACAGATTTTTTTTTACTACAACTGAAAAACTATTTATTACTAAACAAATTTTTGTGAGCAATTTTAAATAATAATGCAGATATCTTTTTAAAATTAGAAGGAAACATTTGTTAAAAGTTGTGCAATGTATGAGCAGTTAAAAGTAGTCACGGGGAAACATTTAATAAAAAAAATCATAATTTTGTTACGAATCATATTCGGTAACTTGCCTCTTAATTTGTTTCCAAGTAGCACAAAAGAAATTGCTTCGAAAATCAAAAAATTATCATGGAATCAAATATTGATTATAAATAAGCATAAAACAAATAATTCATGCAAAGAGAAGGGAGGCACATGCCTGGTTGAGATATTTCATTCGAATTAAAAGAACGCATTGATCATATTTGTAACCCAGCAGAAGTTTCAATTTAAAATGAGTGTGTGGTTTTTTAGCAATTTTCTTAAATTTCTGTATTATGTTATTCATTTTAATGCTTAGTTTTTTAAAAAATATTGACTTACTATAAGGAGGAGTTCTTCCTTTTTCTTTGCCTTTTTACAAGTATCACAATTGTCTCTAAAAGAAAATAATAATAAAAATCAATTTTCCTTATTATGTGTGGTAAAGAAGAAGAAAATAAAACTCACCTTTCCTTATCACAGCAGCTATTGAGAGAAGGCGATAGTATGTTCAATTCCTCATCAGAGCAACAAAACAGTTTCTCACCTTTCAAAAGAATGAACATGATCAAACACACACAGTTGTAAATAGGAAATTCAGAAAAACAACACACTAGCAGTACTTTTAATATTTCTTTGAGTCATGTGTGTGTCACGGTTTTATCATCACTTTGGTGAGCTTTTTACTTTAGGCACGGCTCAAAATGTGTGCTTTAAGTAACTGGAAATAGCATTTGATTTACGATTTTCAAACATTTCTTATGAAAATTTTTCTGAACAGAATAAACTAATGAATGTTTATGTCGTCCTTTTGCCTAAAGCACTTATTTTAAAATAGGCTAAGTCTTTTTTTGAAAAAATATTAAAAGTCAACAGTTCTTTTTTTACAAGGTTGTCAGGGGCCCTAAACATTGATAATGGCGGTATTAAATTGGCGTGTGAATCTTTTAGAACTTTTCTAGTGTACTGAATATGAAGAGATTGCCTGAAATTACATCTGCAAGTTGCCTCGAAGTCCGGAACTCTGCCCCGTAATGATTCCGTTTAAAAAAGCAAGAATAAATTATTTAGTTTAGTTGTCAAATTTGGGTTAAACATTGAAAAAGCTAATTTTCTGAGTTGTGGATACTGGAAGGGTCCTTCAAAAATATTGAAACAGAAAAGTAGAGTTATACGTTTGTTAAACATAGAGAGGAAGGGGGGGTCCTAGTCATACCATCTAAAAGGCACGAAGTACCATCTAACGAAAGATCTGAATAATATTTAAGCCCATCGGGCAGAGCTTCCAGTCATTTGGTCAAATTGAATTTAGTATATAGTGCAAAACATAGCTGAATCATACAATAATAACTAAGGAATTAAGTACTATAAGAACAGTATTTGTATAAATTAGAGGATTCACTGTATGATGCATGAAAAAAATTTAATTCTTTATAATTAGTAACAAATTCAAAACTATGTCTTCAGAAATAGTTCAAAAATTTGCAAAAATGTTCCTTTTCTTGAGATTGACCAAAATCCTTTCTTGTTTATCAACTATTATAGCCAACCGGCCTGTGTAGGGGGCAGGGAACTGTCCTTGCATCAGAAAGGTCCTGGGTTCGAATCCCGAGCAAGGCATGAAGTTTCTTTATCTGTGTGTGTGTTCTATGTCCTTTCTCCTTTGTGTGTGAATGGCGTAGCAGAAGTCGAAATCCTGGCCATAGATGGCGCCACTGAAAACAGGAACAATCGCACCCCCACTGCCTAAACAGGCATACGACAACAACAAAAAATAGCTATTATAGGAAAAGTTAAATAGTTATGGAAAAAATAAACTCAACTCAGAAAATAATTTTAAAAAAAATATTGTTTGGTAAGAAAAATGTATTTTTTAAAATTGAGAAATAGTCTCACATATTATATAGAAACAAAGTAAAGCATTCCTGTAACAGTCCGCTGCGGGCAAGCGGGGGTCATGCATGTTGAGACTCCACAATTTCGCAATGCGTCCAGCACTGCACACAGGCCACCTTTGCTCTCCAGACATCCATCAGGCCACCTTTGCTCTCCTGGTATCCATCAATTGAAGCTGGGTGGTCTTTGAGCCACCATCAGAGATCGAACCAGCGGTGGCTTTTCATAACAACAGTAAAGTGCCTTAACCACTGAGCTATCACAGCTCACACAAAAACAAAGTAGGTAAAATATAGAAAGTAATTCGATGATATTCCAAGAAAAAATTATACTTTTTTGAATTTATCACCTATTTTTTTATACTTTAAAACATATTCAGTTACATTCTAAATTCATATTCGATCACAGTCATGTACGATAGACTGCAATGTTTAGAAGAATTTGAACACTTTATGTAGGACATATAAAATATCTTATTTTTAAAAAATTTTACAACTTACTATTTTTTGTCTTTTCTTCATTTACTTTTGACTTCAAAATGTTGCACTTCATCTGGTTTAAAGGAATAGGTTTTGCTCCTCCGCTGCTCGGCAACATTTGGTTGTTGGGAAGAATATTGACATCTTTGGAACCACTGCTGCATCCACCTGATTTAGGGACTTTCCTCAGTTTGGCAGACGGTGAAGAATCTAGAGCCTTCAACTTACAGGCTAGAATTTCTGATTCTGTAACATTTTAGGCACTTAGATAAAAATACTTATTTATAGTTTAATGTTAGGAGAAACAGCAGATATTCTTTTTTTTTAAGTAATCAGATAAATATCCCCCAAAACAACTATTGTTCAATAAACAATGACTTTCATAACTAATCAACCAGTGGTCAAAATGTCAGGTCTATGTATTTTGTTTATTTTTGGCTTATTGTTAGAACTAGCAGAATGAAAGATAAAATACAAAGTTTGATTCTTTTTTTTTTTTTAATGATTTGTTTCTAAGTAATGCAATTTTGAAACTTCACCAATTATTAGCAGTTTTTAAATTTTAAACAGCTTTAACTTGAGAACTAATTGACATTGAATGCAACTGTTTGCAAAAGTTTGTGCCTAATCTAAAATTGCAGAATAAAAAAAGAATCTAGTCTCTAATGAGATGGGAGGATAATGCGACCCTCAAATAATTGAGGAGAAATACATTGAGCAACTCTCATAAATTAATTTTGAAAGTCCGATCAAAATATGTTATCTTCTTTCAACCAACAGACACAGCAAAAATAGGATATGCGCAGGCAGCATTCATTTTTTACCACCTGCCTATCTTCTTCAGGCATATTAGGCCTTCATTAGTCTCTTTCATTAGCTGTCCTGATACTCTCAGTTTTCTAGATGAAAAACATTTTGTCCCAGTATTCCCAATTTTTGTGTGCCCACAGAACAAATTTTGTACAAATACAGATGTTAGATTTTAAACTAATTGATTTGATAAATTAAAGAATTTAAACTAATGATCCGTCTTTTAATAAGAAAAATAAATTGCATAATTTGATCATTCAAACTTGGGGATCACCTGCTAATAGGCATGGTTTAAACAAATAGTCTTACCCGCAGGATTAATTGTCCCATTTTTTTATTTAGAATTTAGTTATTTTATGAAAAAGAAAACAATTAAAAGATTTTACATTAACAATTTTTAGGGATGAATTCAAGATTCATTTAGACAAATGTTGTAACAGATTGTGTAAGGTAGAGTTTTGTACTGAAAACAGTTAAAACTTAGTGTTCTAAACAAAGTAGTTCCGAAACTAAAAATAATACATTTTATTAGTCTTTTGTTATAAACTTTGCTTTTATTATACCACTCAAGAAGATCAAATTATACTATTTTTAGTTTCTTTTTTTTTTAAGGAGTGTCTACTGTTACTAAAAATTTTGTCATAATTTTTATTCGCTCACTATGAAGCCTTATAAGGGTAAATATCTCCACACTTTCTCTATTTAGATCTCCTTTCTATATTCTCAGCAAATTAATTTGAATTAAGGGGGGATGGATTATTCATTCAACGCACAGCTGCTATATTTGCAGGAAGAAAAAAAATTCTGTTCAAAGAACATTGAGAAGCGAAAAAGATTTTTTTTTTAAGTGATGATCAAATTACACTTTTTAACAAAAAAGTGTCAGATTTCAAATCAGACATGAAATTTTGCTACCACCTGATATAACATACACCTATAAATTGTATAATATAAACAAAATTTAGCTTATATATTGGATTACAAATTAAAGATCATGATTACTGACAAAATATCTGATAGTCTGATAAATATCTAATAAATATAAAAAAATAGCAGAAGATGTAACATTAGTTTAAATGAACAACTATATCATTACTAGCATTTGATTTCACAAATAAGTACTATTTAAAAAAAAAATTGTCCATATTTAATTTATGAATAAATCAATTATATTCTAATTATGCTCACCAGACAAAGTAGTATTTTCTGTACTATTGACAGCAAGTGGTAAAAACTCTTTGCATTTTTCTGCAGATGAAACATCTTTGGCGATTGTTTTGATGAGTTCTGTAATTCTATCTTCTGGCTTTTTTTCTAATAAGGGACTTTTTTTTACTTCAGATTTATTTACAGAAGGCTGTTGGGTGTTTCTTATGGGCTCAATTGCTTGAGACGACCTGCAAAATAATAATTAAATACAAATTATGCTACTTCCCAGTGAGCAAAATGAGGACATATTTAGAATGATTTTTGTAAACTTTATCAGACTGCAAGTTGAATTGAACATACTATACTTCTGGTTCTATGAAGAAGAACCTCCCTCAGTGTCTAAGCACACAAATTATTCATTTTTAAATATTTCTTATGAATATTAATATTTTGTACTCACACAGTAACGTGTTTTGAAGTGTTGTCTATGGTATGGTTAGAATTAGGACGTCTGGAATATCTTTGACTCGGCCTTCTCTCAAAATGAACAGTTCTTCTGGCACGGCTGTGCTGAGTGGCCTGAAATTCAGTACGGCCACTGTCGACAAAGGAAATTACGTTAGCAAAAGTCATAAACTGCACTATCAAAAGAACAAATTCAAGAAAAGATTCATCCAAAAATATACTTTGTTATACAGATAAAAACAAAACATGAATAAAGTACAAATGTAACACTATTTGAGCTTCAGTAACACTACAGATAATACATAAAAACTTAATTCAATAAACAAAATAGAAAAAATAAGTCAAGAAAGATAGAATACAGAATTTCAACATTACATAAAAAAGAAGTTAGCTATTTTAATTCTAACAATGAATAATGATATGAGGACAACCCTCCCAAACAGACAAATAATAATCTTCAAACCATTTTTAGGAGTACAGCATGCAACAAACTGTTCTGGATTAAAAAGAAAGGCAATTTTTCTTTTATTGTTATAAAATATTCAAGGCATACTTTTTTTTAAAGCAATCAGAAGGAGACATCAGGCCAAATCCATAATTACAAATGTTTCCTCTTTTCATTGTCATTACCCAGCAGCCAACCTCTTAAAACGACTTTATTAATATATACTATTAATAATATTCATTTACTTCTCAATAAAATACAGTATACTCTCAATATCTCAAAATTGAAAGGACGCTAAAGAAATTTGGAGATAGCAAGTTCAGAACTATGTATGTTCGAAAAGGAAAAAATATTACTCTTAAAAGTATAGTTATGAAACACAAGAATAACTACTAATCAATATGTCTGTAATGCCCGTTGACTATAAGTCTTAATACAACAATGATAATTTTATTTTCAAAAGTAAGACAAAAATAATTATGCATTAAATAGAAAAGAATGGGTTCATAATTATCTTATATTGTGATTTTTCTGTAAAAAATTAAGTTTTCTAATTCAAACAAATAACAATGTTTTAAGAAGAAACATAGGAATTCATATTAGCACTAGGTGGATAAATAATGCCATGGGGGAAAATATTTTTTGAGATATCAAGAGTATGTGCAATGGCTTAGTTTTAAGAGACATCAATTTAGAGGGAATGCTACAGTCATGTTACATGTTTACAAATAAACTTTTGAATAAAATGTATAGTACATAAATTTATTTTAATGGCATTGATGGAATATAATTAATCAAGTCTGACTTGAGCCAGAATATTTAAATGGCAATAGGGTTGATCTCAAATTGAGTATAGAAAATTATTAATTAAGGATTACATTTCATAAATCACCAACTCATTATACTTTACTCACTAAACATTAATACTTTGCAACATAAAATTAGTATAGATATTTTTAATGTCATTTTTTTCATGATATGGACATAATTTGCAATATAGATAAAATTATTTTTTGCGATATGGATATAATTGAACACAAACACTAAAAATTGTTTTTGTTCTCCACCAACAATAAATGACACGTTAAAGTTTAATTAAAGACATCTTTAAATTGTCTTTTATTTAGTTTCTCTCTCCAAATATGAGACATTATTTGTCAGGTTGAAGGGCATACTTTCAAAAGAGTGTTAAAAACGTTTATGTTCAAAGTCTATGCACCCAAAAATACATGTTTTGTCTGAAATGCTGCCATAGAGAGATTACAGCTACAAATATAAATAAAACAATTCAGCCCTTTCTTTGGGGGTTACGTTAGGCTTTTTTATACTGTAAAATAACTTTGCAACAGAGTTTTATATACCTCACTTCTGCTTTGTTCTGTTATTCAAATATATATTCTAAGTATTGTTGCTTTAATTACTTTCATATTCTCGGAGCCCCAAAAGCCCACATTATGATTCAATTTTTATATATATATATATAAAAATAAAATGATCCCTTAAGGCTGCTTCCATAGCAGTAGATAACTTCAGACTCAGTGGAGTTCCACAGACTCTGCTTATAAGGCGTAATAAAAGTTAAAACTAAGAATATTGTTGAAATTTAATGAAAGATACTAACCTGTATCTAAATCTAGAGCCCATGCGCACGAAGCCTTGTTTTGAGCTAGGTTCGACCGCTGGTCCCCTCAAGCGGAAAAAAGCATGATGTTCTATGGCACATTTCCACAAGTGCTTACAAGCCCTTGGGTTGTGAAGGCGAAACACAAATGTGTGCTCTTGTTCTTTTCCCTTTTTTAAAAAAAAAAATTCATTTCATTACTATTAACTGGAACAGAAAGTTAAACATGGAAATAAAATTTAGTTTTCATGTAGTAATTTTATGTAGTTTCAATAAATGAAATTCAAATTGTATAAATAATATAAAAAATGTAAGATAAATTCAAAGACAAGTAAATCTTAATGTAAACATATCTTCTGAAAAGGACATAATCTATCAATTGCAATCTAATAGAACTATGCATAAATTGAGAGGCGTAAAAGCTGCCATCGTAAATCACTCACTGTACTAAAGGATTCTGTTTGAATCATGAGAAATGTTTACATTTTTTGATACTTGAACACCCACTCAAACTAAAAGTTTTTTTCTTTTAATAAACGGATTAGTTTCATTTTCCCCAACATTTTTGAAACATTGATTTTTTTAAATATTTAATTGCTTTATTTATTATACTAAATCCTTGAATAATTTGAATTGTACCGTACTTGTAAATTTCAAATAATCTTTGATTAGGCAATGTAATTTTAGTATGAATGGCAAAAAATTATTTCTTGTCTAAATACAAGTGTAATATTTAATTTATAAATTTTTAATATTAATTAATTTCCTTTATTATTTAAGTAATTTATTTAAGTAGTTAAACAATTCTTAGGATTAATAGGATATAGGATTTCTTGACATTTTCTAAAAATCACATGTGATTTATTCTCCGAATCACGCAAACTATAGATTTTATTTGTTTTTTAGTTTAATGATGTTAAAAAATTTTCACAGATAGAGGAAAAATGGAAGTTCTCTCCACTAGCAAATACTGCCAAGAATGAAAGTTTTACATTTCTCATATATGAGAATATATAAAAGTATCATGTTTCAGTAATAATAAATAAATTCAAATCCTTTTAATAAATTATATAAAAAATTAACAAGCCGTTAAGACTCCAAATAACTAAGTGAATTTTAAAGAACCAAACTTTTTTCCTTTACCGCTTAAAAATATTCTAATGAATTTATGTCGCTCAAATTGTCAAATTTTATGTCGCTCAAATTGTGAGGACAATATTTAATGCACAACAGATTATATTCACAATATTACAGTATTTTTTATGAAAATTAAACTCCAGTAAAATGTTAAAATGATTGCATATTTCATATACTGCATGATCTAGATTGTAAATGGAAATTTATATTTTCAATCATTCTTATAAATTGTCATAAGAACAGCAAATGATTTTTTACGTAAACATTTAAAGTACGAAAAAAGAAAGGATTATCTAAATAACTTGAAATTCAATATGAACACTATTAAAGAGTTTCAAAAGACACTCAACTGTTTTAAGTTCGTTTTTATTGATGTTCCATTTTTGGAGCATTAGCATTTAACAAAGGCTTTTTTCATTTATTTCCAAACAGAAAAACCAAAAAGAACTATGTGATTTAAGTAAAATAAATAATGTCTATAGAACTGCAGTTATTTTTCTTATTTGACTTTATTGAAAGCACTATTAATAAAATTTTAAATTTAAAAATATCATTGATATTTTATACAAAGATAAATACGACTTCTTACTAACGTGTATATCAACCCATTTACAATAATTTAAATCAATTTTAATACAGGACTGCTTTTGCCATTTGAATTTGGAAATGAGGCAATTTAAAAATTATACAATTTTTTTTTTAATTCATGAAGCAGTGTGAAATCTGTGAAATAATAGAAATAACAAGTATCAGGAAGGAAAACTTATCAATAGTAAGAATATCCAGTACAATCACAGGAAACAATTGAAAAACCCCTTTTCAATGTCATATTTTAACTCTATCATTGTTATAAAGCAAAGGACAGGAAAGAGAGTAGCATAACATGAAAGCAATCATCATATCAGAGATTTTTTTTATTGCTTGATATTGCAGAGAAAAGGCCGTACAACAGTTAAAGAAGGAAATTCCATAAAATGAGTCACAAAACAGGATTCATCCATCAAATTGTCTTGACCCCTCTTTGGTCACCCCTTTTAACCACAAACTGAAGCAGAAGGAAATGACCCTCCACATTTAAGGTAGCATCTTTTCAAACGATGAGTGCTACTTGAAGTAAGAAATTTTGAGAGAGGGGAGACGACAGGAGGGTTAATGATATAATATGAATTTCAATATAATATGAATTTCAATATAACATGAATGTACAATTATTTAAGTACTTTTAATAAAACATGAAATCAGATACTTTGCTAACACATAAAAATCTGTCAGATAGGTAATTTCTATTCCAGCAAGAAAAGAAAAAAGTAAATAAAGAAGTCAAAAGTAGTTTTAGTAAAATAATAGAAAGTCTATCTAAATAATTCCATAATTTGCTGCTATGGAAACAAGGATTCATACTTCTCTTACCTATTTGAAACAGCCTAACTTCATAACAAAAATTACAGTGTTTTTCAAAGGTGAGGGGGAGTTCTTTAGGTAGATAGGCAAATAAAGTGTTAAAATAATTATAACACATCAAGAACATTTTTTTATAAATTGAAACGAGTTACTTTCAAAATATTGAATTATTCTTACTTCATCATCATCTTCAACTACAACGAGAGTCAGCTTCTTGCTCTTGAAGTTTAGTTTTGAGATTTTTGGCCAAAAAAACAAACCAATTTTAGTGCTACCTTCAAAGACTAGAATTCCAGTAGGTGTTAGGCCCAATGAATATTCATTTGCATCTTTACCCTTTCAGAAAGAGAAAAAAAATTCAAAATCTTAGGACCAAAGTTGAAGGAATCTGCATATTATATACCGGGGTAGAAATTAAAGAGAATTTAGTCTTTGGTCCAAAGGACCAGCAACTTAAAGATTTCAGTAGTCTGTGCACATTTTCACTGGTTCGTTTGGATGTCTTAATTAGATTTTTTTTTTAAGTTAATAAAGTGAATTTAAATGAAAAATTATATATAATGATGATGCGAATGTGAAATGAAGTGAAAGGTTCACAAATTTGGAAAAATATATACAATTTTGTGACCAATACAAAACCAAAATAGCATATCATCCCTTTACAATGATTTTTTTTATTATTCCAATTTTTTGGGTTAACGACAACTAATGTTAAACTCTGTAGCCTTGTCATTTTGAACCTAATCCAAAAGACAAGAGAACTCCTGGATCAATATTGGGAGAACTTTGCCTTTGTAGTGGACTTTTAGATGGAACTAACTTTGGCGTTGTATGGAGAGGAAAACCACAAAACTTCCCACAGTTAGTCTGAGGGCAAGGAGACTAAACTATGATCCGTCTACCACTGAGGATATTTTACATCAGCACTGTTGTCGGTGCAAGCCGGATGCGGGATTTGTATCGACCAGCCATCACTTCACTGGAAGACGAACGCTCTATCCCCTGAGCCATCCCTTCACTTTGATTGCTGGTCTGGAGGGACACTGATAATTTAATTTTATGGAGGTTAGAGTCAAATTGACATATAGCTAATAGACTGACATTTATTCAGAGCACTGTTATAGAAAGAAAGAAAAAAGAGTACCGCCAGATGGGGTGACTTTGTGCAACGAGGGGTGACTTTGTGCAAATTGTCATTCTTTCAATTTTTGCGTCATGCCATCTAGGGGTATTTTTTTAAAGCTCAGTGTCAACTGATTTGTGTTGTCATCATAACGAACTAATGGTTTACCAAGAACTGGCAATGTAAACATCATCGTTCTAGGAAAATTGTGAGCTCAAGTTACAAACAGTTTCAAATTTTTTAACGTCGCAAAATCGGAGGCTGGAAGGTCTGCTCGGTTGAAGAAGTTCTAGTTATCCTGATCAAGAAGGTAGGTTATACTTTAAAAAGTCTTATCAATTGAGATAACAAATCATGCATAATTTTTTGTTTTTAATTATTACAATGTTAATTATTTAATAATTAATGAAAAATTGCACCCTGGGGTGACTTTGTGCTATTTTTTTCAGAGAAAAACATGCCAAGGACTTATAAAAGAATGCTTGGAGCAAGAAGTTATTGTAATTACTACACCAAAGAAGCGCTAGAAAAATGTTTGGCAGAAATAAAAAATGGTTTATCCGTTTCGAAAGCGTCGAAAAAGTTCGGAATTCACCGAAACACGATTCAAAACAAAATTCATGCGAAGCATTCGAAATCTCACTCGAATATTATTTTTCCTTTTCATATTGTTATTTTTTATTTCAATTTTCATATGTTAATTGTCTAAGACATTTAATAAGAGACTGTTAATAAGAGAGGATCAATCAGAGTTGCTGAGTTGGGGGCATTAAATGAGGGAATTCATTAAACTGTTCATTCATGTCAATTCATATCAAATGTTTAATTGTACCTGAAAATCACGAAAAAAGTTACCTAAGATTTAATTAGAAAAAATCTAAAAATGTTTACAAATCTAAAAATTAAAGTTTTTATGTTCATCTTAAGTAGATTTGTTAATACATAGTACATATTTATATGTAATATACTTGTATTGTACGTTAACAATGTTAAATATTGTTTATTAAACAATTTTAAGGCAAAGTGAATGAAAATAACAGAACTAAGTCTATATTTTATTGCCTTGCACAAAGTCACCCCATCCCGGGGTGACTTTGTGCATTCGACTAATTGATTGTTTACAAATAATAAACATTTCAAATCAGCTCTTAACTACGTGCAATTACTTCCCAGATGGCTAACAACAAATTTTAGATTAGATGTTGTACAATTTAGCATTTTTTAACTATTTTTTTATTAGGTCAAACTTGGAAAACTTAAAACTCCTGCACAAAGTCACCCCACCTGACGGTAGTATAACTTGTCTTTTCAATAAATTACTTGAATAAATATATTAAATATCATAATTATTTTTAATTTATATTATTTAAAAATAGTAATCAGAAATATGGTATAGAATTTTAATACACAAGCAAGCCAAAATCTAATTATACGTGTGCATTAACATTTTATGATGTCTAATTTTTTGCAGATTAATATTTACTCTGAACAGAAAGAAAAAAATTTTCTTTTGCGAAAACATTAGCATTTTCAGGTCTAAAAAAACAGATCAAAATATACTGAAGAAGTGCAGCAAACAATTATTGTGGATCCCAAGATCTTAACAATCCTATGCACAGATGAATTTGAATTAACATTCAAAAATATTCACACTCTTTGTAGTTAAGCCATTTTCTCAAATCGAGACAACTTTCATAATGGCCCCCTCAATGAAGCTATGGTTCAAAAATTTTTAAACATAATTTAAGCTGGATTTTTTTTTATCAAGAATTTGACTACAAAAAATTTTCAAGATCTGGCACATGGCGGGACAAGAATTTTTTTTTGGTCGATTTCACTTGAAATAAGAAACATATTTATAGATAATACACCTGAAAATTAAATCTTTCTTCCTTTTTTCCGTGCTATATTGTTTTTATGTCCTTTGTACTAACATTTTCCCGCCAAATAAAAGACAAAAATAATTTGGTTAATAGTAATGACTTACAAATTATATACATAAAAAATTCAATTATGAAAATTTTACTATAGTAGTAATATTTACCATAGCAGTGTTGGCATAAAATGATTAAAGAATGTATAGTTTGATGAGGATACATTGATAACGAATGGTATGAATATATGAAAGTTAAGTTGACAAAAGTAATTATTCAGATAAAACTTTTTCCACCTAATGGAGTTAGAATTATGTTTTTGTCAGGTAAAATTCAATTATTTAAGCAATCAGAAAAAGTGAATGACACTTCTGTGTAATGAAATCTTGTCAGACACATGTTTAAAGGTTTTACTTTATAAATATACTCCATCACAACACTCTGCAGAAAAGTATCTATTCATTACACATCTATTTTAATACTTATTCCAGCAGCACATTTGTTGCAAGTAAAAGTACATTTATCATTAAGTTTTAAATCAATTAATCTGTGTACAAATATTAAAGTTCAGACAACGAAAAATTAAACAATATTATAATTGAAACATATTTATTATTATTATATTACTGTTAACAAATAAAATACTTACAATATTACAAGTAAAATACCTATAATAATACTATTAATATTATAAGTGAAAACAAATTTATCTTAGGTTATGGTTAAAGCAACCTATCAATATACAAATGTTAACATTAAGAGAAACAAAAGATGAAGCGAAATAAACATAAGATTCTGTTCTGTAGAAGAAAAAAAAACTGGCAAAGTTAAAAACAAAAATATATTACCAATACTGTGTGCATATCGACGCCATACATTTCCAACCATTTTACTTTGTGCAGGTAATTAAGTTCAGCTTGGGCTGGGGTCTGGCCTCTGAAATGTTAAATGCCTTTAATATTGCTTCAAAATAGGCAACGTAAAGAACACAATTTTATAGCAGAAAATGAAGATTTATGTTGCTGAGTACAGAGAAAAATCCGACTAATACGAAAAAAGTGTCAAGCATAAAAAGAAAAAAGTGTCAAATACAGGGATGCAATGGAAACACATTTCAAGAACAAAAAAAGTTGTGTATGAAAAGTGTAGGGAAAAAATTGTTAAAAATTACATTTGTATTAAGTGGATTAATTCTTGGTATGTGTTTGTAATTTTTAAGTATCTTAATCATTAAATAAAACTCAAACAAAAAGCTTTACATATTAACCCTGCAGCTACACTTATAATGATATAATGGAAACAGAAAATATTTTTCATTTATGGATTGAAAGAATGAATCATTCCGTGATTAAGAGTCCTCTGAGTTAGAATAAATTTTGCTTTCCTTTAGTTTACAATAATTTTAATTTGAAATCAACTTTAATAACAAACTAGTGCAGGGATGGAGAACCAATGGCACGCGACACAATATTTTGGGCACTCCACCGATCACAATTGTTGTTACACTATTAATTGTTATTACACAAATGTTATTACACAAATGTTATTACGCTATGAAGCATATGTAACAATTAAATTAAAATTCACAAAAAACTAACAAAATAATAAACAATTATTAATAAAAAAATTTTAAATTAACACTAAAAAAAGAATTAATAACCGTAAAAAACAAGCTAGCAATAAATAACTAGCAAAAAAAATCAACAGTCCTGTTTAAACTAACATCTTACAACCTAATATAAGTTATTGGTCATCTAATCTGCAACAACAGAAGTCACACTGATGTTACTTTAAGTTGAATTATGTGTATAACTGAAACATTGCAAAATGTTTTTTTTTTCAATGTAAATAAAGAGTTTTGAGTTGATAGTATTTAGTATTATTATTTTCCCAATAATCACAAAGTCAAAATTATTTGACGGCACGTCTATGACCTCATTAAGCAATTTTTTAGAGAAAATGGCATGTTGGTGTATAAACATTCGCCACCCCTGAGCTAGTGAGATATTTAAACCTTTTGACACGAGTGGGATATATACGTCTCAAAGATTAAACTTTATTCCCTTATGGATAAACAGATACCAATTTTGCATTGTTTTTTATGTTTTCATTGTTCGTTAGGCATTAGGAATAAAAATATGTCTAAAGGAACTTGGCAACACACTTATATTCAAAATGACGAACTTCTGTTTGCCAGCAAGCCAGTGAATCTCTTTTTAATTTACATATTTTCTGTATTTTGAGGTAAATACAGCTTTATTTTTGCCTTATTTTGTGCATAATAGTTATGTTTGTTCGTATTAAATAATAATTGTACCTATTTAGTATCAGATTTAAGAAATTTTGACACATTTTGCTTCATGGGATATATTGTCGCAATCGTACTTACCAGTGGGGCAATACATCACATTAGTGATAAAAATATTGTAAGACAAAATTTTGGTTTTGTTTTGATTATTTTACAATGGTAACTTTTGGTTTCTATAACTTTTGATAAGAGTAAACAATTCGATGCTTTTAAATTATTCTCATTATTTATTCCCATGTAATACATAGGAATTTTTACAATATTGAAGATGTTTGGGACATCTTATCCCCGGAGATTTCCAGGAAAAGTGGAACACTTTAAGCTCATAGAATACTTATTTTAATATGTCAGCATTAACATAAACTGTTTTAAATACTTAAATTTAAATGCTGCAAAAGTCAGGATGAAAGGATTAAGAAGTTGTAGTACAATCTTAATTGATCGCCCAGTAGTGTATATATTTACCTTCTTTTAAAAATTCTATAAATTTCACGTAATATTAAATACTGATTACGAAAGACACGAAAATTCCATATTTTTTTCCAAAGCATGGCATTTAAAATTCTCATATTGAGATGTAAGTCTGAGGGGGACAAAATGACCCTTTTGCACTGTTCCAGTAGGTAAGATTTTTCAACCATTCTATTGTTATGCATTTACTTGCATTTTAAAAGGCATCATTTAATTAGTATCACATATAATACAGTTTTTGAACAGAAAACACAATAAGAAGTTTCTTTTACATTCTGTATAAAGAAACAAATTAATCATACAAAAATTATTAATCTTAATAAGACAAAGGTTAGAAAAATTTAATAATCAGCTATAAATTAGTATTATAAATTAAAAATTTTTATCTAATTTACATAGTCCTTTATTTTCATGCATTTATATACATTAATAAAATAATGTTAATAAATAAAAAAATCTTACATATGCAAAGACACTGGCCTATATTTATCTCATAAATGTACAGCTTAAAAAATTTAAATTAATGAGCCACTCAGTTCGAAATTATATTCTTTTTATACTTAACTTCTACTTTGACTAACTATAGCATCACCAAACTAATCTTATTGCTTGCTTAAAAAACGTAATTTTTTTAAAAACCATAGCAAAAGTCGGTGATCATAACAATTCATAATAGAAGATAAAATAGTTGTTACAACGAGCATGTCACTATAATCGAATGCATATATTTATTGTTAATACAACTATAAAAAAAAAAAACAGAATGAAAGGGACATTTTTGTATCCTTTTGTTTTACTTTGAGCAACTCTATTTTAAGAAACATAGCTAGAGTAAATTGCTTCTGTCTAGAGATTGAATGACATAGCTCTGTACTTTATGAAAGGCATATATGTTGACAACAAGTACGTTTGAACAAATTTTTAGAAGAGGATAAGGAAATAATATGCAATACCATTTGATGACGTTGAATGTTGATTTTAATAGTCATGAAGAAAGGGCAGGATAGAAATTTGGTTAAAAAAAAAGGTTAAAAAAAGGTTTACAATAAGTTTTTAAAGAGAGAAAGAAAAACTTTTTTATTAGGAAAATATAACTTAGCCACATTGTTTTATAAAAATGAAAGGTGAAAGGATGTTAGTTTTCATGGATGTCTTCCCTTTAAAACTTTTTCATAATAATATTGATTACTTAAATAACCGAAAAATGTTCCTTAATTACCCTACCAGCAGATTACTTGTTAAAAGCATGAAAATTGTCCCTTCCAACAATTTGACATACATTATTTTCAGGACTCAGACATCGCAAACTTCCTATTGACTTTCGTCAGCCATAAAAATGTAAGGGACCATTCACACTGTGTGAAAAAAATTGGGCATGCGAATTCAGAGATGCGAACAAGAATCTCCACAAAAAAACATTCTATCAGGTTCCCTTCTACATCTCTGAACTCGCATTTAGTCTACTCGCCTGCCGATGCTCGTCGACTCGTTTACGACGCAGATTCTGCATTTGGAATGAGCTTTGGATTTCGTTCATTCTTCTGTGCTGAGCAAACCGTTTGCAATCTGCGGATTATGCACCAGTGTGGCTTGTACGTTTCGATTTTCTCGTTCCGCATCGTCTCGGAAACCCCTCCCCACGAGGATGATACCCTGAAAATTTCATTTTTCCCTAAAGTCTCAATCTAAATACGAAAAATATTTCTTTAGAGTTTAGCAGATCACAATGCCGTACTCATTTTGAACTTTTACTATATATTATGTTTTGACTTTTTACCATAAATAGAACAATAAATTTCAATTATTTAACAGAGTAATAATTATGAGTAGTAGTTTTTCTTTTTTTCAGTTTCAAAAAATAATTCAATTCATATTATTTGGACATCAACTGAATGAATGAATCAATTGAATACCTGCAAGTTTTGTATTGCTCAAGAATGTCTATTTCCATGTCCTCTGTTTGATCTGGAGAGAATCTGAACTCTGATATGAATCCAAGGTTATGAACTGTTTCATCATAATCTCCACATTCAGCTGAGGACAAACAAACAAATATAGTGTCTGCATCAAAAACGTGTAAAAAAAATCATTGAAACTATTCAAAACAGTTAAAAGAATTAATGTATACCTCAGAATAATTTTAGCATATAACAAATTATTGTTTGTAAAATAGATATAAAGTTTTAAGTATGATTCCCCTTTACAGCGTTCTCTCCGCCAGTGCATTAAGTTCCCTTTGCTACTCCATGTTATTTCAATGTCCATCAGATCGTCTGCGTTAAACTATTCATTCTAATATTGTTTGTTTTTTTTTCAATAAAAAATCTCAACTTGCACAGATTGCATTGTTTCTCAACTGAATTTCCAATTATTATTGCTCCGAAATTCTGTATGGTTTTAAAAAAAAAAAACATTTTTAATACTATATTTTGACACATACATTTCGATTTCGAGCAATCCCTTTTTGACTTGCTTTATTTTTGTTGATTAAATCCAAGTGACATTTCAATCTTTTTTTGGCATTTATAACTACCACTTTCCGTATCGTTTTTAAAATCCCGATACATCTATTACAATATACCTCATGAGTTATAATTCACGCGTTTAATTTATCACTTTTTGACCTTATGTATACTGATTTAATCGTAAATCCAAATGATTTTTTAAGGCATTTAATGCAACATTAATCACCTGATTTTAAAAATGCTGTATTTTCACTACGATTATTATATCGTATTTTACTATTATATACATATATAATATTTATGTATTATATAATGCGCATCATAATATTATTACGACACTCGAGTATCAAATCTCAAATTTAAATAATCCTTTTTTTTAAGTGCTTTGTTTCTGCCGATTTCATCGTAAATCCAAATTATTTTTCAATAATCATTTCCTTTTTAAAATTTCCGATTTTGATTACAAAGTGTTAATTTTATATCGTATTTTACTATTATATACATATATAATATTTATGTATTATATAATGCGCATTATAATATTATTACGACACTCGAGTATCAAATCTCAAATTTAAATAATCCTTTTTTTGACGTGCTTTGTTTCTGCCGATTTCATCGTAAATCCAAATTATTTTTCAATAATCATTTCCTTTTTAAAATTTCCGATTTTGATTACAAAGTGTTAATTTTAAAACACATATTTAAATATTTACTTATTGAAGTGCTGATTTCATCCTAAATTTAAATGATTTTTTTCCTGCAATTATTACAATGCTTTAACACGTGATTTTCATCACACAACTTTAACTACGATGTTATTAGGACACGCGAATTTCTAAATGCGCATTTAAATAACCACTCTTTGATACAGTTTATTTGTGCATATTTTATCGTAAGTATAAGTTACTTTTCTGTTGTTTTTTCGGCAGTTGGTGCCATGCATTTTAAGTGGTATTTAAATTTAGAATCCCTATGTTTTAAGTCAATGTTCTCGGTGTTTGTAATTTATTGTTTTAAATTTTTTGTAGCCAGAATTATTACTATAAATTTTTTTATAGACAAAAACGAATTTTTTATAATATTATAACCTTAAAAATATTCATTAAAATTAAAAAAAACTGAAAAACAATTTAAAATTAATTAAAAAATTATTTTTTTAAATTTGAAAAAAAAAATTTTTAAAAATGCACTAGATATGAGTATTTTAAATAATTCTTTTATACTGAGCAAGCCAGGAAATTTTTTTTCCATAGTTTTGTAATCAATCGTATTTGGCAAGAAATGGAAAAATTTGATTTAAATATCTTCAAAACGTAAAAAGTTTCAAGCAATTTTCTAAGTAGTTTTTGTACTATACATACATGTTTTTTTTTATTATTATTAATCAGGGCTTTCCACAAATTTTATTACATACTATTATAATTTACACTACCTTATAAAAACCGGACAGCAAGAACAAAATTGATTATGTGGGGGAGAAACCCCTTATTGTTTTGAGAGTTCTTTAAAAAAGAACAAAAATTACTTAAAACTTTTTTAAATTTTTAAGATATTCAAATCAAACTTTTTTCATTAGTTGTCAAATACGATTTACTACAAAATGAGGAAAAATGTTTTACGTTTATTTCGCGTAAGCGAAGTATAAAAGAACTACTTTAAAAACTTATATATCTAGCGCAGTTTTCTACAAATATTTTTAAAATTTTATTATTTTGTTCAAAAATTTTAAGCAATTTTGTAATTAATTTTTAATTGCTCAAAAAATTTTATTTAATTTTACAAAATATTTTTTTAATGTTATAGAAAAAACATAAAACAAAACAATTAGTTTTTTATAAAAATGATAAGATTTAATAAATCGTTTATCAGGGTTCCCACTCTATAATGAGATTGAAATTCAAGGACTTTCCAGGACTTTTCAAGGACCTTAATCTAAGACCAATTTTAAAAATTATTCTCTTCTATTTTACTAGAAGCATCAATGCTTGTTGTGGCTATAATTAATTCACAAATATAATACCTAAATGCTTTTCCTATATAGAGAGAAGAGAGTATATGTATTATGGACTAAAATTTATATTTTTTTAAAAACAACCCTACTGGTTTTACATATTAATTCACAAAATCATTTTCAGCACAATCTATAACTAATGGTAATGAGGTGTTAATGGTGAAATCCTTTAATCCTGTGTATTTCCATGTGAAGGCTGCATGAAAGACAGAGCTAAATCTTAGGTATTCCATATTCCATGACTATTCCATAACCCCCTCCTCTCCTCTATTAAACATCGTTTCTGAAATTATTCATCCATAATTTACACAACCTTCTCTAAATGTTATGCAGCAACAATTCTTTCTGAAAATAAAAATTAGAAGGAACATATCCCATTTTCACCATGTTTAAAAGCATTATTCGTTATGTGTAATCCACAACTGCCAATGAATATGACCTGGTGGGAATATTTCTCTTTTAATTCACACTGAAGCTTCTAATAGAATTTCCAATTGACATAGGGTCCATCCATGGATAATTGAAGTATTTTAGAGAGCTTTTAACCATCATCCATGCATTTGTAAAAAGAGGACAAAATATTTTCTGCAGTTCCATGACCCATAAATTGGGAGGTAAGATACTTAGTGCAAACTTTATTATCAATTCCTTACCATAATGTCCATCTGCTTAGATTGTAGAGACTGATTTAACGTCTCATCAAAGAGTACAGTGTAGCAATCAACATTCTTCAGCTCATTTATAAGAATCCCTTTGAAGTATAGTGCCAATCCAAAGGAGCCCAAATAGGCTCACTTTGTGGCACTACAAAAAAATTGTCTCGCTATACAGCTATCAGCAAACATTTTGGAGAACAATTTACTAATCCCTTCACAGGAGTTACATGAATAATTACTAGTGATGCACTTCAGACTCCAGAGAATTTCAGCATCAAGCACATTCCTTTTGACCAGATAAGAAGACAATGTTACCTCGGCCACTAAAGTTTCTGTTTCACATGGGGCACACGATGTTGAAGGAGTATTTACACCAGATGAATTAGATGTTGATGTCTTTGGAAAAAGAGAACTCAGGGCATGAGACTGCTTTTTTGTTTTACCTTTCTTTCATGTGTGATTTCAGAGCAGATTCTTCCATTTTCGCGATATCGATCTCCTTCATGCATAATCGGCACTTGGCTCTGAACTTCTTTTCGGGCATCGATAAAATCCATTCTTTATAAGCTTGATTATCCATCCATTGGGGATTAAAATAGCACTTCCCAGGCATAACTAGTCTAAACTACATAACACAAATACGAAGCCGTGCCTTTGCGAATACGCTTTACAATAAAGTTTTGAAATGACGCAAACGTAAGGACAAGTGCGGATGGTAAAACGGCAAATTTATTGAAAACTACAAGGTACATATTGTTACGAAATTCGAGAGTATTCCAGTTTCGATAAAAAAGAAGATCTAAGCATATGCGACAGAAGATGAAGTGGAATCTCGCCCCGAACGAATTGATTGTCTGCTGTGTTCCGCGCGCTTGGCAAACACCAAGACGCTAGGCCCGGTTAGAAACGGTGGCGTTAAAAACCACGTGAGAGAGCTCGGGAACAAAACAGAAGGAACGAGAAATATCCGCGGGTGTTTTATAAAAAGGGCCGCCGGCAGTATTGGACAAATTCAAGGACCTATCAAGTTTTTCAAGGACCTAAGACGTTTTTCAAGCACTTTCAAGGACCTAAATTTAGCAAAAAAAAATTCAAGGACTTTCAAGGACTCTCAAGGACCGTGGGAACCCTGTTTATTGATAAAAGGGGGTTATTTTTTAAAAAATAGTATTAGTTTTTTCACTCTTAAAATAATTTTAATAATTGAAAGAACTTAATTTTCTGCAAATATGCTACTAAGTTTATTAATAAAAAAATTAGGGCTTAGAACACTAAAGTTTTCATAAAAATTATCATAACTGCTGCCAAAATGGATGAATATTGGTGTAACCCTCTGTTCTGTAAAAGAGGGCCTTTACACTAAACGGTTGTGCACCCCTAAAATATAGAGACTGAAATTTTAGTCATTTGATTTAGAAAATGTACATTGAAATTATTAAAACGGAAGAAACTAAAAATGACAAAAACAATTGTTGAGTAAAAAGTATTATAAGAACAGTTTAACTGTTAACAAATTAAATTTAATGCAGTACTAGAAAATCAAAATGTTTTCCAATCATTGAAAAAAAATTATTATTTCAATACTATTTAGTTTCATACAATTTTTTTTATTATATTACATAAGAGCCAATTTTGAGTATTCATATTTGACGCATTTAACTATAAAAATGAACATTCTATTTGTAATTTTGACTTCAATATGTGATTCTTATTTACAATGTCATTTGAAATACGATTCAGAATGTGATTATTGAATTAATTTAGAGCTATTAACAAAATTCGATTGTGATGTTTAAACCGTTTTTTATTTTAACATAAGAATTTTTTCTACACTCAATTACTTACAATATTGGAAGACTTTCATTTATTTTAATTTAAGAAATTTATTTTTCTTTCTAATGAATACTTTTCCGTTTTTCACTTATTTAAAAATGTATAAAATAGCTTGGAAAATTATCCTATTATTTAACCTAGATTGCAACTATAAACTGTTTTAATATTTTTTTTTTGAAAAAAGTTCCTTTCACATGGGTTGAAAGGAAGAAAATAAACACTCACATTGTAAGGCTAAAGCTGAGAGCTCAATTTTCAATTCATAAGAGCATGTCAGTCTTCCATTTAATACATCCAGCTTAAGTTGTAAGAAAAATAGATACCTAAAAATGAATCAAACATTATTGCATGATTACTTCCTCACTGCATAATCTGCAGTTTTCCTGCCATAATTTGTATGCACTTTGATATTTTGCAAACATTTTTTCAACAATTGAAACATCATAGTTTACTCCAAATTTACCTTAATTCCTATATTCTGTACTTTATATAATTTATGTAAGTGAAAAAGAATTTGCCATGAATAGAATACTTTTAGCTTTAACTGTTTATAACAAATGATAGCGCAAACAGCTAATATAAAACAGCTGTTGAAAAACCTTACTTTATTTAAACCTCTGATATACTAAAAAGATCAGGAATAATTTGTATAATAGGGAAATATATTGGTTTCCTTTATTGCTTTGTTAAAAATTTATATATTTTCTTTTTGCAAAGCGAAACATACAATATCAAATAGATTGTACAGAAATAGATTGAATAGACATGCTCTAAACCAGGGATGAGGAAACTGTGGCCCGCCGGAAGGTTTTATCCGGCCCGCGGACAGAATTTTAACTTGCTGATCCGTGGCGAATATAAACAATATACATTATGCATCCATTTTCTTGTCTACTTTGTTTAAAGTTTTTTGTTTTGTTCTTTCTATTTTAACAAAGTTTTGATGACCTTTTTACTTTCTCTATTTTTGTTCTACAAAGCACAAATTGATGGAAATAGTTAGCACAGACAGCATCAATTGGTAAAATGTTGAAAGCAAAAGTTCTTCATAGAATAGCCGTAGATTGGCTCCAAGGAGGGTTTGTCTTTCTCGAGGAGCAGACATAGGGAACCTACTATTGGCGAACTGCACTTCACATGTGGCAGATTGCGCATTTTAAGCTCCAACGAGTGGATTTTTCTGCAAGCGCGAGTTCTAACATTTATTGGGCATGGAAAACATGAACACATATGTCATTGTAAATAATGATGAAATTATTAAATTTATAAAAGGGCTAGTGCTTTTTTGACTTATTTGTAAAAAGTTTTAACCCCAAAAAAGCTCCTAAAAAACGCAAAGATGATTTAGAGTGCCATGCGTTCAATGACGAATGGACTTCGACAGATCTTCTTTCTCATATGAACAATTTGAATGTTAAGATGCAAGGGAAAAATCAATTCATCGATGTTATCTGGGTCCATCTCAAAGCTTTTAAACTAAAGCTTAATCTGGTTGCTGGGTAGCTAGCTAAGAACGACTTGTCTTATTTCTCGAGGTTAAATTCAATACCCTCAGTAAATAAGGAAAAGATTAGGAATTATGAAGATGGTTTGAAAAAACTCCATTTTGAATTTGAATGCAGATTTCAAGATTTCAGTGACATTCAAACAGAATTAGATGTTTTTACCATGCCTTTCAACGTTATTGCGAAACAGTGAGGTCGGATTTGCAACCTGAATTAATTTAGTTGTTTTTAAATAAGCCAAAGTTTGAGTTTTACAAATCATTACCAAAAGTTATTTTCTAAAATTTAATCTCATGTCCAGAAAATCAGTGCTATGTTTGCTTCATCTTATATATGTAAACAAGTGTTTTCAACTATGAACCTTAGAAAAAATCGTTTTAGAAGTAGATTAATAGACAAGCCTTTAGCCATGTTCTTTAAAATAAGCACATCTCACTTCAAACCTCAATATAAGGAAATGAAATTGCAATTTCATGCATCTCATTAAATATCGAAATTAAAACTTGTATATTGCATTTTTTTTATTTTAGAAGTTTTTACTTGGCCCACCAAACTTTTTTTTTCTCGATATTTGGTCCTCGACAACAAAAAAAGTTTGCCCATCCCTGCTCTAAACAATGTATCCATAGTTTATTCAAAAACAACCAATGCTCTGTTTTACATAGTCAATTGATAATGTCAATACAATAGAAAAAAAAGTTCTACTTTTATAAGAGAAATTCAAAAAGAAAATTAAAAATAATTGTAATGTTAAAACATCAGTCTCAAAAACAAAAGCAGAACTCGTGGAAGAAAAATAAATAAAACAGCAAAAAATGATTTTTAAAAAATTCAGAAAACGTGTTAAAATGCATCAGTATGTAGTACATACAAATACACAATACATCTGAACGTATCTGAGTATAGCTGAAAAATAATTTGCAACTATTCAAAAGTGCATTCTTCTGAAATGAGTATATTTAAATAAAAAAAGTTTTTCTAATCTCAAAAGATAAACAACATACCTGGTCAACTCTTCCCGTAAATTTGTAGGCTCATATGAATAGAATTTAACACCTAAATAGCAAACAAATGGCACAGCTCCTACAAAAGAAAATAAACATAATAGTTGCATTTTAAATTACATTTAAATGATAAAAAAAACGTACTTAAAAAAATGCATCTATAATTTCAAATGCTGCTTTAGAAAAAAAATTGCATTAGTTAATTTGCACAAGTGACTAATCAGCTAATGTATAGATGAATGAATTATTATGTCATTTTATAATATGGTTAAAATCTGAGAAAATGTAATGTAATTGCAACTGACAATACATAAAAAATGTGACATATTTTGCAACCATACCAATAGCATACCTCCTAAAAAATCTACAGCATACCTCTTAGAAAAAAGCATTTAAAAAGTTAATAATAGTTTAGACTTAGAAGAACACCCAGAAAACATTAAGCACATTAAAATTTACATGCAATATACAGTCAACACATTTTATTAATTCTCAATTATTTGCACAAATAACAAGAATTTTTTTAAAATTATTTTTACTTCTTTCACAATTAAATTATTATTGTTAAAACCATGGCAGCAACCAGAAGTGCTATTACATACATTAACCAGTTCATTGCAGAATTTAACTTAAAAAATCCCTCTCACATAGCTGTCCAGTAAATTTTACAAAATAATATAAATTTCATGATAATTACTGCACTAAACATTTTACTCATGGGGAATTTTAGGGATTTTTATAGTCACCAAAATAGAAAAAACTGCAATATTTTCCAGTTATGATTGACATTAAATGAACTTGAAATGTTATGCTTACTCATAGTTTTGAAAAGGCATTTCATTCATTAGAGAGAGTTGAAGGATTTTTTTTTAAATTCATTTAAAAAGAGAGTTCTGAATAAAACAAACTGAACATTTTAGAACAAACAAAAAGTTTTAAACTGATCATTTTAACTTTCTCTGTAAATGAGACCTGCTTCGTTATCTATCTATCAGTAATACGTATTTAAACATTCAAGCGAGCAATTATCTGTGGAAAAATGCTATTTCAATAGGGAGTTTTTTTTTTTAATTTGTTTAAAAGTTACTCAATTTTAAGTGCTTTTTTCACGATTATTATTTTTTTGTTTGTTTGATTTTTATAACAATGTATAAATAAGGATTATTTGTATCCATTTTTGTCAAGAAGTTAATTTCTTTAAAGATTTTCCCTTTACAAGTTCGTGCTGGACTTTATGTTAAAAGAGATTTTTAAAAAAATGCTTCAATAAAATTTTTTAAAAAATAAGAGAACGAGATTATATGTTGCCAGATATAAATCATTTTGTTTTGTTGCGCAAAAATGATAAGACTTGAAAGTTATAAAGGAGTGTAGAAAAATGGAATAAAAAAATAACATTTGATAATTAGTTCGAGAATTAATAACTGTTAAACTGCATAGGTTCCGCACAAATGCAACTAGTATCAAGCTTGACATTTGGCATGATGAAAGGGACACATTTGTTTATGAACTTAACACATTCGAAATTCTAATTTGTTTGAAAGTTATCGCACTTCTAACACCTTTTTTTTTTCTTAACAAATTTTTTATCACTTTCTTTTTTTTCAAGTTACATGTTGTTGTGCTGCGCAAAATCTCCGAGACTTGAAAGAACGAAGGTATGTAGAAAAAAGTGCAGGAAGTACGACGATATAAAAAAGATTTAAACATCGATTATCATTTCGAAAATTATTGACTGTCCATCTCGTAGGGTAAAAAAAAAAAATACAATGTTGAGTCGATCTTAAGCTAAAGTAATAACGGGGTAACATTTTGAGGTGCTGAAAAAGCCATATTTATCTAAATACAAATTTTGTTTCGAAATTCTAAGTTGTTCGAAAGTTACAGCACATTTAAATACTTTTTCGTGATTTTTTCAGCTTCTCTGCTTTAAATATAGTTTATTTATCCATTGTACAGAAAATTTATTTCTCATTTCTTCTTGAGATTGCCAGATTTCTTATCTTTATTTTAAGAACTCGTGCCCGTGTCAACCAAAAATAGTAAAAGAGAGAGATGACGTGTTGCCAGATGAAATCTTAACATTTAGAGTGAAACGCATAAAAATAAAGAGCGATAAGAGGCGTTTCATATTTGAATTATTTTAAACTTCGTCATCGAATAAAATGAAGTCTCATTTATTTCTTCTCATTGATTCACACGCATCTTTTCTTCTTTCGGTTAAACTTCTTTCTTTTTTTTTTCAAATTCAGATTATTAACATGTTAACAAAATGTTCTTACATAAAGATACAATGAGAGTATATTTTAAAAGCAAAATATGCGTTTATTTTTTTAAAAAAAAATCAATTGTTTAAAGGGAGAACTATGAATAAGAAGCAATGAAGGAGGGTGACGAGCGAAGCCTCGGAGCCACCCGAGATTTTTAAAAAAATTCAACCTTGTATCTCTCTCTACTGAAAACAATGCATTCAAAAGAAATTTTTTTAAAAAAAAGTGATTTTTAACAAACCTTTTGATTGCTTTTTTATTTCTTTTGTAGGATCTAACCAGTGCTGAAAAAAGGGAGAAAAAAAGGAGTCAGTAAAGGTTTTAAAAGTACTTATCAAAGAACAATTAGTTTCTGGTTGTGGTTTTTACCTTAATATTGAATTCATCAGTATATTCAAGACCAAAATAATCTTTCTCTACGAGGTCAATATGATAAAAGACTTGTTCACACAAATCAGATCCAAGAGCCTTTTTCTAAAAACAAAACAAAGAGAGGTTACTAAATAGGAATGCAGAAAGAAATCTACTATTTTTAGTATAGATATTTTCTTTGTTTCAATATCATACACGTTTAAAACAAAAGTGCACATACATAGATTTTGCTTTCATCGCAGTTCTACTCACACAAGTATAGTTATAAATGTAACAGATTAAAACATAAATTGGAACAAATTTCTCGGCGATTAACTATTAAATCAGTCAATCTATCGCCCACGGTCAGTCATCTAAAACCACAAAGGGTCAAGTAATGAAGAATTCTTTCTAAAACACTGCTTCTACGGGAATCGTCCCTGTACGCTGTTTATAAATTTTTACCAAGTAAAGTTATTTCCCTAATTTTATAAATCACCATTACTGGGCAGTTAAAGAAATAAAGAAGTTAATCAGCATATTTTCTTGTTTTAAAAATAGCAAAGCAATTACAATCCAATTTATTCATACTGAAATAACAGAACCATGATGACACAGGGGATAGAGCGTTCGCCTTCCAATGAGGAGAACCGGGTTCGAATCCCAGCGATGGCTAGTCGATACGAATTCCGCACCGGGCTCGCACCGACCACGGTACTGACGTGAAATATCCTCAGTGGTTAGGGTCTCCGGCTAACCGTCGGAGGTTTTCGTAGTTTTCCTCTCCGTGTAACGCAATTGAGGGTTAGTTCCATCAAAAAGTTCCTCTACAAAGGCAAATTTCTCCCAATACTTGATTTAGGAGTTATTCCCTTGTCTTCTGGATATTTATATTTTTGTTTTAAAAAAATCTTAATATTCAATACACAGTGCATTTTATTCATAAATGGAATTCAAATTCCCCAGAATTTGATTAGTAAAACACTGTACCCAACAAAATTGGATTACTTAAAAAATAATAGAATAAAATGACTGACACAATTGAAAAAAAAAGACTTTTTCAATTCTGTTAGCTAAAAATGGACTGAATCCATTTAAAACGTTGGTTGGCTGTATTACTTATTTCAAAAACATAGATGTGTCCAAAAGTTATATTGAAAATAACGCTGGGGAGATCGACATTACTTTTGAGGGTAACATAATTCAATTGTATCATTATTCAACAAGAATGAATTCTACTCCAAAAAGTTAGATGGCAAGGCGAGTGAACTATTTGTAGATGCCTAAAGGTCATTCAAACATTACGATGTTTTTCCAATTATAAAAACTTTCCCTTTGTCAACAAAAATAAGTATAAACCACAGACCAACACACTCCCATTGTTTTTTGTTTTCACTTTGATTTTACAGTTATCTAATTTTTGGATCAAACTCAAATAAATAACATAACTTTATCTAAAATAAAATTCAGTTTTCAATTCATTTTATAAATATTCTTTAAAAATCTCTTTCGTTTTCCATGAGTGGTTTAAAACTTTTAACTTTTGATACTCCTCCTAGAAGAAATTGTTTTCAACCTTCACTTTCATTTCAAATTTCTTCCACGTTTTTTATTAAATTTTATTTATATATCAATTTCACCTTTTAAATTTTTTTTTCTTCCAAATATTAGGATTTTCATGTCTAACGTAATCATTGCTCATGCCCCTCCTCCACCCTGTGCGACAAAAATTATCACCATAATTATCTTCGAATGAACCCGGTCAAACAAAACAAATACATTCAAATCCAAACTATTCCTAATATTTACTTTTGTTCGCAGAAAATGAAAACAAATAAACAATGTCTTTCGATAACTGATTCATTGATTCAATAGATTTCGAAATAACTCATTTCATTTGGAAAACACTGATGATTGACTGACAGACCAATGAGACTAAGAATTGAATAATCCGATGCATGACCGTTCATCCGATTTTATACATGGTTTAAAGATAACCTCATCTGCTGTTGACCTCTTATAAAAAACATGGGGTCGAGAGATGAAGTGGCTGAATAACGATGGCCTTTCCTCAGCATTTTATTCACTTTTCTGAACACTTTTTTTTTTTTTTAATTCATACAGGAAAGGAGTAAAAGAGGACCAATGGGAAACTCTAAATTAACACCTGAAAAAAAAAATTTTTACTGGGTGTATGAACGTCGCTTAGTGCAGCGATTCCCAAATTTTTTCGCCTGCGGAACCCTAACTAATGAACGGAACCCAGTCTTTATAAATAAAGAGTATAAAGGTAATTGTGAACGCTATAATCTATAAAAAAAATATTTAAAAAAAAACTATTTTTAAAATATTTAATGAGAGGGATGAAGATTTTCCCCCGTTTTATCATTCGTAACCTTAAAATTATATTTCATGTTCGACAGTTAAATTGGCAGTGTGTTCCTAGTCTAGCTAAGAATTGGTTTGTTGAAGCATAAGCCGGAAAATGAATAAAATAAGCCGAATGATGGTTTACTTCGAAATGAAAACTTAAAAGAACTGCTATAAACCTTGAAAATAGATATTAGGGAAACACAAAAATTTTGTTATTTTATTTTGATTTGAAAAGCGCGATAGGAAATACTAATACAATATTTTATAAATGCTCGTTCTTTTCAGAATGTGTTCCATACAGTGCTATAGGAAATATATTTTCCTTTACAAAATGCCATTTCCTTTCCATTGGCGTTCTTTGAAATAATTTCTTAACAGCAACTGAAAGATTCAATTAATTATGAATAATAGAGTGGATATAAATGAGAAGATTCATAACTCATTATAAAAAGTACTAATTTGCGGAACACCATTTGGGAACCGTTATTCTAGTGCAGTGTTTCCCAAAGTGTGGTACGCATACCCCCAGGGGTACGGGAATAGTTTAGCGGGGGTACGCGTTCTTATGCGTAATATCTTAGAACAAACGAAAATTACAAAAAATTTTATTTAAAAACAAAGCTAGCCATGAAAATTTACGATTACTTATTTTTCTATTGGCTATTTTTGCAGAGTTAATAGTTTATAATTAGTGGTGCCAACAGCCAGTTGTGATTTTTAACTTTTGTGCAATTTTTTTATAGTAAAAAATACATTCATTTTTTTATTAGTGGTACACAGCGTTACGAAAGATTTAGAAAGGGTACACAAAAGTCATACGTTTGGGAAACACTGATCTAGTGAAATAAAAGTATTATTTAGTTTGGAACAGAAACCAATAAAATATTACGTGAAAGCCTATTTTTAATGTCCCCTATCTCCCGAAACCACTATAGCTAAACTTCCAAAGAAAATTTAATGTCGTTCAATAAACAATGCTCACCCCCCTCACCCCTATGAGACAAACAGAACACCTTTTAAAATATTTTAAGCACTTCAAACGAAAAATACAATAATTCGTGCAACTTTTTTTAAAATTAACTATTATGCAAGTAGCATTTTTTCGATTTATGCAATTAAAACAATTTTGTGGTAAATATCAAATCCTCTATGTTTAAACAGCAATCATAAAAAAAAAATTAAAAAAAAAAAAAAAAAAAAAAATTAAAAATTATCTTTCTTTATCTTCAAAGATTATGTTAGAAATTAAATTAGCATGACCTAAATAGAAAATAAATGTTAAAAACAAAAACAACTCTATTTAAAAACGAAAAGCAATGCACATGTATAAATCAGATATTAATAACACGCATTTTTTTTTCTTTTTTTAAAATGATAACAGGAACTTGCTTTTGATGGAAATAATAGCATGTTTTTTAAGTCTGTGTTCAAACCACTTTTTGTTACACTGAAGAAAAATTGAGAAGAGGCCTTATTTGAAGAAAAGTGGAACGGCCGGCAGATTTAACCAAATCAGCGTGTCTGTGAGGCGGTCACCATAAATAATAATTTATTTTCCTCTCGGAAGAAAACCGGTTACAAGGTTGATTTGGGGTCCATCTTGAATGAGATTAAGTATGGAGTTTCCAACGTGTCATTAGAGGTTTTTTACAAAAGAAAGAAAAATATCAATCTGAAATAATTAAACTAAAAACAATTTTAAATTTAAATAAAAAAAATCGACGATTTGAACTAGAAACCGATCTACTTTAAATATTTCGTACTTACACACAAAAAATTATGAGTGTTTTTATAGGTTTAATTCTGATTACTATTACAAACATTTACTTTGTTAGGATGATTCTCAACTAATTAAATTTTTATAAGTTTCTCTTTTTTTCAAGGGGGTAATATTAATAAATTTTTAAGTGATTTTAAAATTATTTTTTTTAAAAAAAGAGATCTTCATACACTTTATTTATAAAGACTGGGTTCCGTTCATTAGTTACGGTTCCGCAGGCGAAAAAATTTGGGAATCGCTGCACTAAGCGACGTTCATGCACCCAATAAAATTAAATAAATACCTTTTTTTTAAAAAAAAATGCATTTTTAAATGTTTATTTTCGAATATTTTTCAGTATAAATTATAGAAAAAATCTTTTAAGCTGTTTATCAAAAAATGATTTTTTAGTTTACTTTTTTTGAAAAAAAAAGTGCATGCACAGAAATTGTCTCTTAACATGCCTTTCATTATTATTTATAAACAACTCATTTTTAGAAAATGAGTGAAAATTACTTTTTGAATTATGCACATAAAATAGTATGAGACGGTAACTTAAAAATTGTCGAGGATCAAATTTAGTTATGACACGATATGACACATTTTGATACATTTTTACGGTGTTGAGTACCCTTTCAAAGCTAAAAAAGGCCTTTTTTTATGAGGATGCACCCCCTGACCTTTTTTATTCTTAGGGAGAACTCTGTTACGTGTTTATATTGTTTGAAGAATTAATAAATTAACAAGAAGAAGAAAAACTATTTTTTTTGTTTTTATTTATTTTTTTTGTTTTTATTTATTTTTTATTTATTTGAAAAAGACACTCGTTGGGGTTCCTTAAGGAAAAAGGCATTTTAATCTTAAAATAAACGAATCACATAATTATGTGCGCAAATTTTTCGATTCGATGATAAATTTCTAAACATGTGACTATATACACAAAACGTGAAATTAACACGTAGGGGTACAAACTTTCAACCACTCTCCCGAG